ACCTCGGTTTTGCACAGTTCAATACTTTGCACAGTTTCCCTCATCTTTGCACAGATTTACAGTTATATCTTTGTGTCTTCTAAATCATATTGGTCTGTTTTGCATCATTTTAAATCTGCATGGTATTGACCTTTCTTTTGGGATTGTTGCAACAGACTATTCTTATTTGTCTATCAAATACACACCAACACTGTGAGAATCAATGATTTATCAAGATTTCTATGTTAGCACTTCATTAAAATGTATACATTGAAACTTCCAAACCAATTTTCAGGAGGGGCCAGTGAGCATGGACGGAGAATACTACAATGCCCCCCCCCCCCAACACACACACACACACGCGCACACACTTTTTTTCTAAGTACATTTTTGTCCTCTGCACTTTTTACCATCAAAGACAATACTACGCTATATTAAACAGGTACTGGTTGAGCACTTAGGACCAAGTGGAAAACAAGTTTGTGTTACAGATTATTTGAACCATCTATAAGCTCATCTATTGGCTCTGCTGATACTTGCTTGCCTCATGCCGGTTGTTCATGGGATCATTCACTGTGTGAAGCAGTGACACTTATCCAAGGAGTCTAATGAAATCCGATTAGTTATCTTTAACCCTCTGGAGGCCGGCGTTGCAGATTTGCAACGTTAAAACCTACCTACCTGGTTACTCAACATACGTATTTCATGAGCATTTTTAACTCAGAAGTACCCCTGAAGGACTTAGTTGTTTGTCCTTTAATCAAAACTCATTTTGAGCCTGAGGAGGTTAATTTCTGTTGAAAGTTATTCTAAGAAGCTGCAGAAGGAACATTAAAACCTCCTTTACCCAATTCTGTTCTAGTTCTAAGGACGGAGGGCAGCACTAGAATGCAGACCAGGATGAGACTGTTTTGCAGTACACACACCTAAAATCAGAACATCTGAGTGTTGTGGAAATTCATTAAAAATAAATAAATATATATATGTTAAATTCTTCAATCTGAAATGTGTATCTGCTTCCTCTGAACAGCAGGTCTGCTGTTTTCTGTTGGGCACAGATACCTAAAATATTTATAGTGTTCTCGTCAGAAAACATCAATCCAGCTTCACTGAACAACACTGTAGAGTGAGGGGGGTGCTAAGGTTTTCAAAATGACTCAGCAGAATGAATAATGTGTCCTTCACGATGAAACTGGATAGAGGCAATGCACCTCACTCACTGTTGTGACATTAGACAAAAAAGCACCGTCATTTTTCATATGTCTGCCTCCAAATGTGATTTCTAGCTTCAAAGAGAAGATTAAGACAACATGAAGTTTGTTGTTTCACACATTTTACAGATATGGATGCCAAAGAGGCATTAAACAGACCTGTGAGTTTTTACGTGGACTCAGTTTTGCTTCAGTATTTGTTTTTGTTTAAATGAAGAAGAAAGTTTCAATATTCAAATCTGCCAATTTACATTTAAAGACCACGTTCACTTGTTTTTTCAATACATTTGCTGTGGTTTGAATGCCTTGTGAGTAGATCTCTGTGAGAAAAAAAGCACTGGCGCTCCTGTTTCAGGAACTAGAAGTGAACCGGAGGAGAGTTGAGCAGAAAACTCTCCTGAACACGAATTAGCCAAATGTAAGATGAAGGTCCGCCTTTCTTGCACCTATTGGCTAGAGGTGGCTGGGCTTTTTCTGTAGTGGCCACTAGGCTTTGGAACGCGCAGCCCTTGAACATTAGGTTGGCGTCTTTGTTGTCTTGTTTTAAATCACCCATTTTTATGCGATGGCTTTTAACTCACAATGAGGACTTTCCAAGAGCTCACCACTCGTGGGAGGGGCCAAAGGGGTCGGGTGCATTGTGCGTCGGGTGGCAGTCTGATCCTCTGCTAGCTCTTGGTACGTGGAATGTCACCTATCTGGTGGGAAATGAGTCAGAGTTGGTAGGTGAGGTTGAGAGGTTCCGGCTAGATATAGTTGGACTCACCTCAACACATGGCGCAGGCTTCAAAACCAGTTTCCTCGAGAGGGGTTGGACTTTCTACCACTCTGGAGTTCCTTGCACTGAGAGGCGCCGAGCAAGGGTGGGCACACTTGTTGCCCCCAATCTTGGTGCCTGTATGTTGGGGTTTGCCCCAGTGAACAAGAGGGTAGCCTCCCTCTGCCTTTGTGTGGGGGGACGGGTCCTGACTGTGGTTTGTGCTTATCCCTCCCACTGTCTTCATGGGTGACCCCACAAAGAAAGTTGACCATTGCGCAGGATTGATGGTTTATCCCTTGAGGTCCACGTGGCAGGGGTGAGGTGGTGCTCACTCCTCACCCCTGCCACGTGGACCTCAAGTCATCTGTAAGCGGGGGTGGATGAGATCCGCCCAGAGTTCCTTAAGGCTCTGGATGTTGTGGGGCTGCATTGGCTGACACGGCACTGCAGTGTCGCGTGGACAGCGGGGGCAGTTTCACTGGATTGGCAGACTGGGGTGATGGTCCCCCTATTTAAAAAGGGGGACCACTGGGTGTGTTCCAACTACAAAGGTATCACACTTCTGAGCCTCCCTGGTAAGATCTATTCAGGTGTTCTGGAGAGGAGGGTCCATTGGATTGTTTAGCTTGCTTGTTAAACTCAGAGTGACAGATCATATTTAAAAAAATAATAAGTACAAAAACTGCTTCTCAGTGGTCTTAGCCATTAAAGGGTTAAAAATTGGAACAGAATTAATTATCTCTAGACTTTTTATACCAACCTTAGAAAGAATCACATACATATTTTGTTATTTACTTCTGTTTTTGACTCTTTTCCTAATGTTTGTTGGTGTCATGACAACAATGCAGCAGCTTTTGTTTATTCTTTACTGCCTTTTTAATGACCAAGACAAATCAGCTGAGAACTGAGGAAGTCAGCTGAACCGGTTGGCTGTACTCCATCAGAGGTAATTGCAAGGATTGTATGTGAGTCTCCAGAGACTGTCAAAAAACAGCCTGAGCACTTACCTAGGGATCTACATTCACCTCTGGAGAGTATAAAAGGAACACTGATACAGGTCTAAAAGAGCTTTTATTAAAACAGCCCTTTCAATGAACCCTGAACGGTGTCTTGAGACTGTTATCTGTAGTTATAATTTCAAAGGACTGCTACTTTAGCTATGGGGTGTAAAACAATAAACAAAAGAGTGTTGTGTGGTCCTTTTTTAGGGAACAGAGACGCCTCCATGCAAGGATGTGCAATATTATAGTCAAACTGTTTTGATAACAACATCTTTTGTAATGAGACCTTTGTGGTGGTTGTTTTCCTCTGCTGTCTCTGCATGGAGGTACTTCCTCTTAGAGTCTCAGAGAAGTGAAATACGGTATGAAGCATCTTTGGCTATCAGCCATTTTTCGGCTTTTTTTAAACCAGGAAAGAGTAAAAAAAACGTTTTTTTGCCATGCTAGTGTAGCCTAGAAAGCGAGACCAATCATAGCAATAGCAAAAAAGGTTTCGCTCTGCAGGTATTTATTTACATTATAAAGGATGGCTTGCCAGGCTAATGCTATTGTGGATAGAAGCACAAGAGCTATCATGTAGAGATTTGCGTTGATGAACCAAATAGGAACTGGGAATTCTGACTGTGGTTGTGTTTTTAAACACAATGTGCTTCTGAGGCTTTAAACATGAATACATGCACGTTCATAATGCACACACAAAGTGACTGAAACATCAGTATGAGAGAAGCTCTTATGGGTCTAATCTAATTACTGACATGCTGAGGTAGTGCTAAGCTTTATTCAGTCAAGGCTCATGAATGAGTTCAGTGATGTCAGTGCAGCAGCAGTGAAGGTTTAGCCTGAATGTTTCTCCATGATAGGAGACATAACTTCGGCATTGATGCTCACTCCAACTTGCGGTCAAGACAGGAGATTAATGCAAGTGGAAAATAAAAATAAAGAGCACAAATAAACTAAAAGATAGTCATTTTGAATATTTTGTGTTGTTTTATTTTGTCAGAACTTCAAGTTTCAACTGAAGGCTTATTGTAAAAAATTGCATTGCATTAAATTTTGATTTTAGTCTTCACCTCTGTCTGGATCGCTTGAATGGTTAGCTTGACAAAGTTTTGTGTTCAGTGTTCATCTAGAACCTGTTCACATGCAGAAGTTGCCCCTGATCTGGTCCTCTCAGTGTGTGTTAGCAAGCTAATGTACCATATAGCATCAAAAGAGGCTTTTCAAAGTGAATATACTTATTATTCAAATTTGCCCAATCAAATAAACATGAAATCATTCTGAATGTTATTTTTTCTATCCACAAACATCATTTCAGAAATCTCAGACTTCATTCTTCCAAAAACAAATAACCAGAGCCGGATTATCATTGCAGAGGCCCGTGGGCACAATGTGCTTAGCCCCCTTAGACTGCTGCTTGTGTGGGCCCCCTTGTGGCTGTGGGCCCCTGGACCTGTGCCCAGTTTGCCCATATTATAATTCGGCCTTGCAAATAACCATTTTCCTCACATGTGCATTAGACTTTCAGCTCCAAATAATCAGTACTAGTTCTTCACATTTTTCCTATCTAAGAAGAAACTCTCATGGCAGAAACTCACATTGGAATAAATCAGTCAGTTATCTCTAACAAAATTTTTGATTTAAAAACAACAGCCTTTTATAGCAAAATGATCGTCAACATACACAAATGGGACAAGTGATGGAATCTGATGAATTCCTGAAAACATCTGAAAATCTTAACTGTGATTAGTAAGAAGAAAGCTATTTTTCTATAGCAGATTGTTTTCTGTTTGTTTTACAAGAAAGACCAGAACTACAAACATTTACCTATCTTGTCCTAATACATGCCTAAAATTAGTTATTTGAAGTCTAGATGTTTTTACTTGTTGGAATACTGGTTCTTATACTTAAAATTTAAATTCCGGATGTCATTTTAACCCCCAAAAGATCTATTTTACTGATGACGGGTGTGGTTGGTTTATATATTATAACGACCTGCCTTAAAACAACGTTGCTGTCTGACCATTTTTGGCTCCGCCCACAGCGTCGTGTTGCTCACAAAGCTTTTGTCGGGAGCGCGCCGCGCACTCCCCCCCATCTCCTTCCTGTCAGAGCTAGTCTAGTCTGGACTGAGAGCGGACGTGGTTTTTCACCTGGAATTCTCCAGACATCCACCGCTGACACTAGAAGACGTGCTTGTAGTCGCGTGCGTCTTTCTTTCTTAGCCGAGCCAACAAACTCTGACTTCACATTAAATATGTCTCCTATCGAATGTCGTCAATCGCCTCAGGTAAGATTTTTCTTCCGTTAACTCGCAGTTCATGCTGCCCTGTCGTCCTTTTGTTCGGTAGCCGAAGAGCGTTGAATACGCGTGATATCTTTATTTCTATGTACGCTGTTTCCTCGAAGTCCATTTTCCACTCAGAACCTTGTGTTTAAAAAGAAATGTAGGAAACCGCTTCAAAATGATTAAATCAGTAAAGACGCGCGAAAAGATGTCACCGCCGCCTTTTTCCGCAACGAGGATTGCTGTGACACTAACGTTACAAATGTAACGGTCAAACTTTTCCGCAATAAGTATAAAAATAAATAAAATGAAAATAGAGCCTCAGCTCCATCCCCAGCCAGACATCCAGGGTGTGGGTAGAAATCCAGCGTCTGCTTGTTTCTGACCTACATCTGTTAGAGCTGGATGCTCGTGTCGCCGGCTAGCAACGTTATTTGCGTAGTCTACGTTTGTAATCCGTGCTAAAGTCGACTAGACTTAATCGGAGAGACTTTCGGAGGGTCTCCCACGACTGACCCACATCCAGGTCGTGGACAGAGGCTTCTGGCGCTTATCCAGGTGTCAAGGCCCAGCTAACACACACACTCGAGGCATGAACGAGGATGAAGAGAATGGGCGACCATGCCCTTATGGGGTGGGGGGATGGCATACCAGAACTAGATTGTGATGATTTACGACATCAAAACACAAATTAAAGGATTTGCTAAATTAACGTTTCTTCGCTAACTGTAGAATTCTTTAAGCTTATAATTAATTAGTGCTGACGCAGTATTTGAACCATTGTACTGTTAATCCGGTTGAAACTGGCAACCACGTGGAAAGAATTTAGTGAATGTTAATAAAAATGGACAAGTATGGCACAGTCGCTTGTAAATCACAGTAAATGTTATAAAAAGTAACGCTTAGGTATAGAAATGGCAGACAAATGTGATTGGAGGTGGCCGGTTGGATTTGACTGGGGAGATGGGAGCGTTTCTGTTTTACATAATTTACGATTTTAGAGTTTGTGATATTTCAGGTTGGTTCCGAGAAATATTACAAGTTCTATTTTTAAAGCAGCTATGTTCCGGTGTCCCGTTAACGGCGGCTGTGACTGATTTCATCGTCCATCCTAATGTGGGCGGTAAATTTCCACTCAGTAGGAGTGGGTGAAATCTCCACCGATGCAGCCGTTGACCACTAGAGGGCGGTGTAAAATGCATTGATTGTTCTGTGGTCAGGCTGCTTTGTATCTGTTTAATCAGATGGAATAATTATGGAGGGAAAATACATTCACAGCCTTCAAGCTAGTATCCTGTTTTAAATCTTTTTTTGTTAAACAGTTGCCAATATATCTAACTGCTCTAATGTGAAATTATATCTATTGTGTAGTATACTCCAGCTAATTTTAAGACGAGACAAAAGCTGCTGGTTCTCAAAAATAACACTAGTAATAAATGGTACACAACACCAGCAGTGATGGAGAAACTGTTCAAGAACCCTCCAGAAAGTCGGGGGTGGAGTTTGCCAGCTAGAGCTATAGGTGGAGAAAACAAGAGGGAGGTGGTGGGTGTGTGTGTTGGTCCCAGGCATGTGGAGGGAGTAGAAAACTCGGGCTTTCAGACATCTTCTGCCAGATATTGCATAACAACTCAAAACTGGGTCACTGCTCCTTCTATCCACACAGAACAGGTAAACAATTCTTTATCTGCATCTGTTCGTGGTGATCAGAGCAATAGACAACAATTATTTATGCAACGTGTGCATGCACCTGTGATGATTTACATTTTCCAGCGGTGTTTGATCTGAAATATGTTTTGCATATTTCGATATTGTAATGTAGTTTTGTTAATTACAAATTGGCAGTATTTTGTGTTTTAATTTGTCTTTCTTTTTAACCATGTGCAATATGTGGGATCGTTGTTTTATGCACAAATTAGAAAGTTTTACCACTGAAATGGAATCACATGCTGGTGAGAGAAACAGTAAGGGACAGCAGCTAAAGGAACAAATGCACTAGAGATCTAGCACTTCGGTAATTGACTGCTTTTTTAATTGGTTAGAGTCCCATGCCAGTTGGGTGTTTAAATAAAGCTGCCGCGGACGACGTGTGGATATGATTTCTGACCAAACACACAGCAGCTGCTCTGAAGCGTCTCGTCTTTCTCCCCTAAGAGAATGCATTTACAGCGCTGGACGCTGACTGGGATTACAACTGTTTATCCTAAATTAGGATTTTTGGGAGTATGGCCTTAAGCGGTGTTGAAATCTTTCCTCCAAATAAAATAATTGAATGTTTAGATAATGACCAGTGTATGGGTTTGGAGGATGGGGTTGTTCACCAAGTTTATGGTAACTACATATTATAACTTGTATTTCTGAGGAAAACAACCCAGGAGTGGGCGTGGAGCCGCCCTCCCCTAAGTTCCCATATGGGTCAGTGCCTTTAATAAAGAAGGGCCTCATATAGGAGGAGTCTACTTGGAGGCTTGTCACATCGGATGGCATTCAGCGGTTTTACTTCAGTCATGAGGAGGGTTAAACGGTCTCAGCCTGTTTAGCTGTAGAGGCCAGTGTGAGGATTTGACAACTGCATTCATTTATGGTGAGACTGGCGTGGTTTTTATGTTTAATCATTTAGCAGACGCTTTTATCCAAAGCGACTTAAAATGTATAACCTATAGGGCATGTTGTGATCTGTGGGGGAAACCGGAGTACCCGGAGGAAACCCACTCATGCATGGGGAGAACACGCAACTCCACGCAGAAAGGCTGCAGCCGAGTTTCAAACCTGCAACCTTCGTGCTGCGAGGCAACAGTGTTAACAACTGCACCGCCATGCAGCTTGGCTTTCTCCTTTATGCTGCACACTGACTGGGATTACAGCTGTTGATCCTGAATTAGGAGCTGGTTTAAATGGGTTGCATTAGGAACCAAAGTTATGAATCGGGTTGTGAGACGGAGCCTGCTGTTGACTTTTGTATGCAGCGCGACAGCAGCTCTGCTGCGTGTTTGGAAAATAGCTTTTTGAAGAACCATTAGGAATGGGGGGAACTGCCATCCCGTGTTTGAGGTTGCCTCATTTACCACATGGAACTGACTCATGCTTATTCTGCTCTGTGGCCAAGCAAAGCAAACCTCAGTTCTCTGTTTTTTTGTCCCTTTTTCCTCCCCTCTAGGTAATGATGTACGACCAACACAGAATAAGTTCCACTCTATAGCCAACGGGATCCCGAGGACTTGATTACAGTCGCTTTAAGCCTGATAGTTTGTCCGTGCGGCTGCTCCCACCATCCCTTCTACGCTCGTCTGTAGTCGGCTGGCCTCTCTCCTGATAACTTCCCGTCCCTCTCTGTGGGTGAAGAAGACCTTGTCTGCTTTTCCCGTTTCCCACTTTTGGTTCCTGTTTTACTCTAAGCAGTGGTGCTTCCCTGGATTTGGATTATTCTCCATTAGGTAAGCCTATGACTAATGCATAGGACTTATGCACATTATAAGCAGCTAATTGTAATCCTCTCATTGTAGTAGATGGCTTCATTCATTGAAGACCGGTGTTTTAATAGTTTGGTTCTATTGAACATTATTTTCTATGTGATTCTTTGGTTTTTGTCAGGAATTAAAGTAAGTTTACCAAAATGACTCCAAACGGATATTTGATCTTTGAGGATGAGAGCTTCCTGGATTCCACCGTGGCCAAAATGAACGCTCTGAGAAAGAGTGGCCAGTTCTGTGATGTTAGGCTGCAGGTAAGTCGAACCATCAAACAGCCAAGTAGATTGTGACAACTTTTGACTTTGGCGCCCTCTGTCCAGGTGTGTGGTCATGAGCTGATGGCTCACCGTGCTGTCCTGGCCTGCTGCAGCCCCTACCTGTTTGAGATCTTCAACAGCGATATCGAGACTCCTGGAATCTCTCATATCACCTTTGAGGACTTGAACGCAGAGGCTGTGGAAGTTTTGCTCAACTATGCCTACACTGCCCAGTTAGCATCCAATTTATCCATTGACTTGATCTAATTTCTGTGTGATGGTGAGATAAAAAAAAATCAACTCTTTGTTGTTTTAAAACAGACTGAAAGCTGAAAAGGAGCTAGTCAAGGACGTTTACTCTGCGGCCAGAAGGTTCAAGATGGAACGAGTTAAACAGGCATGTATTTCTTCATCTGCTCTTCCTAAAAAAGATCTTCTACTCCGAAGCCTCATTAGTCCTAGTTGCCCATGAAATGACTCAATTTTAACATCTTCAACTCAGATTTGTGGCGACTACCTGCTGTCGAAAATGGATTCCCAGAATGCGATTTCCTTTCGGAACTTTGCCAGCTCCATGGGAGACCCCAGACTTTTGGCCAAGGTGGACGCCTACATCCAGGACCATCTGCTGGATGTGTCTGAACAGGAGGACTTCCTTAAACTTCCCAGATTAAAGGTAACATCAGCTTGCTGCTGTTTTACTTTTTGTTGGGAGTTAGCCACTGAGAGCGACTAGATCATTAGTGAAACTGGCATGTTTCTGTTTACAGTTAGAGGTGATGCTTGAAGACCACCTGACCCTTCCCAGCAACGGCAAGCTCTACTCCAAAGTGCGGAACTGGGTGCAGCGTAGCCTTTGGGAGAATGGAGACCAACTGGAGCAACTGATGGAAGAGGTCAGTATCAAAGCCCCTTCTCCCCTCTCAGACTGAATCTTCAGTCATACTCTGCCCTTCCCTTTCCTCTGATTCCTCCTGTCTGTGAGCTGAAGGAGTGGGTAAAAGGACTGAAGTAGAACTGGCATGCTAACGTCATGCTTCTGTGTCAGGATTGTTCTTTTTGTTTTCCTCTGATTTGAGGTTTTTGCAGTAAGAAACTCTGTATCCCTGATCCATACTTCAAATTAGAGGTGAGCCAAAAGAGCTGCTCATTGCTCTTGTTTTTCTTGAGTTTGTTTCTAGTGCTTTTTATTTTTTGAGTGTGTGGCGGGTTCACACACAAACCCGTGTTAACGTTACAGGGCTTGTCTCATCTGAAACAAAAACTCAAAAGGTTCCGAAAGGTCTGGTCCTTGATTTTTGTTTTCTCACTGCCCCTTTACTATCTGAACAGGTGCACGTTTGTTGCCCCAGCACTAACAGGCGCTCCTCCCCGTTGATTTTTCCTGTAGGTTTATTAGCAGCAGCAGGAGACCCGACCGAGGAGCCAGGACTGAGCCACCAGGGTAAATGAGTCAGAGAAAAGAGGGAAGAGAGGACTACTGCCTCTCAGCCGCTCCTCTTTGCAGCCAAGCAACACTGTGCCCCATCTATCTCTCCTCACACAGATAAATCCATCCCCCAGTTTACTAGATCTCATTACTCACAAGCATCTAGAGTTTAGTAAACTAAGCCCCCCCCCCCCCCCCCCCCCCCCCTCCATCCACTCACATTATGATTATGTCCATTAGCACATTCATGAACCACCCACATAAGCTACTGGGCAGTTCTCTCATGTACAGATTCACACTGTTTTGTCAAACCTGTGCTGAAGACGACGCTGCGTGACTTCATGTAGAATTCAGTTTGGACTCGACTGAATGAGCGTGGTTTCGTTTGAAAATATTTTTTTTTCTCTTGTTGGGATTTTGTGTAAGTTAAAAAGTGTGACTTCTTATTTTCTGATTTGCGGTTGTGGCAGCCGTCACAGCGGCCAAACCTCCAGCTCAAGGACCAGTTTCCAAGCAGCAGGAGTGGCGAGAAGCTCCTCTTGATGAAGATCTTTCCAGATGCAGCCTTTCAACTTTCCTCAAGTTCCCTCTTTTTATAGATGCACCTTTAAGAAGAGCTTGTGACAAACCCAGCAGCTCCCTTCTTGAGCTCAGATTTTTAACCCACTCTGTGCAGCAGCAGCAGCCTCCTGCGTGTCTTTAGAGCGACGTTACCCATCCCGCTGAAGATCCAGGTCTTCAGCCCTTCCCCCTATTCCTCCTCACCAATCTGCCGCCCCCTCCTCTTCCTCCCTTTTTGTTGGGGTTCTCAGTGTGTTGCCATGGAGACAGCCACATGGGTGTGTTGTTGGTGTCTGTTTTTCAGGTGCAAACTCTCTACTACTCACCTGACCACAAGCTGGTGGATGGAGGGCTGGTGATTGAGGGGCACAATGAAGTGTTTGGTGGCGAGGAGGACCACCTTCAGTTTGTGCAGGTACTCAGCAGCTTGTGCCTGGCTTCACTGTAATTAGGAAGCCTCTAGGTCTGATTGCTTTATTTAACAACTTAACTGGGCTCTTTAGCGTAAATGTGCTTTAACACCTTGTTGGCGTTGAGGTTTTAAGTTGGGCTCAGCTTAGGCAGGCAATGGCGAGCTAGTTTTTGGGCTTTAGCTTGAGTTATGGGTTAAGAAACATCAGCAGTTGTGCACATCATTCAGCATAGTGTGGTGTTGGATTGTAGTAGTCGCACCAGCTGGAACAACTGGCTCAAAGGCTGGCAACCGATGAGTCTGTGGTGCAAGCTCGGCTTCTGTAGCTGCGTTGTGCTCTTGCAGAAGAAACCGGCACGCGAGAGCGCCCAGAGACAGCAGAGCTGCAGCTCTTCGGGAAGCCTCTCACCCTCCAACCAAGCAGCAAATGTAAAACCTACTGCCAGGAGAGAGTGGAAGTACATCGCCTCTGAGAAGACCACAAGTACGCTCAGATCAGCAGAGCTCGTACGTTTTTGTTTTATAGAAACAAAAGTTGACTCAGAAATGTGTCCTCTTGTATCTAGACAGCAACTATCTGTGTCTGGCTGTGCTGGACGGTGTGCTGTGTGTGATCTTCCTTCATGGTCGCAACAGTCCTCAGACTTCTCCCACTGCTACCCCCTGCCTGATGAAGAGTCTCAGCTTTGAGGCCCAGCCTGAAGAGGGGGTGGAGGAACACCCTCTCTCCCCCATGCACTATGCTCGCTGTGGCCTGGGCACCGCAGCTATGAACGGGAAACTCATTGCAGCAGGTTTGCATAAATCTAGTTGAACAAGGATGATTTTGCTAAATGGAAGCTGGATGAACTCTGAACACAATCTGTGTGTTTAGGAGGCTACAACAGAGAGGAGTGTTTGAGGACTGTGGAGTGCTTCGACCCCAAGGAGGACTGCTGGACTTTCATTGCTCCCATGCGGACTCCAAGGGCTCGGTTCCAGATGGCCGTGCTGATGGTATTTTATCTCTGGCGTATTTACTCTGCAGTAAAGTGAGTGTTTGCTCTGAGAGTGTTCACACCTGTTCAGACATGTCTGACTTCTCTCAGGTGAACATTTGTCAGCCACCAGTGGACCCTGGTTTTGTGAATGTTTATTTTGTGAGCCGCTTGTCCCCCCCAGGGTCAGCTGTACGTGATTGGAGGGTCCAACGGACATTCTGATGAGCTGAGCTGTGGGGAGACATACGATCCACATACTGATGAGTGGGTTCAAATTCCAGAGCTGAGGACAAACCGCTGCAATGCAGGTCAGTCCCGTCCGTAAAATCAGTCATTTAATATGAACTAGTTCTGAGTTCGTGTTGGTCTGTGTGAAGGTGTCTGCTCCTTGAACAACAAGCTTTATGTTGTGGGAGGATCGGACCCCTGCGGGCAGAAGGGCCTGAAGAACTGTGATGTTTTTGACCCCGTGGCCAAAACCTGGTCCACCTGTGCCTCCCTTAACATCAGTGAGTCCACGCCGGCAGTAGAAACCCCTCAGGATGTTGAGCTGTTTACAGAAGGCTGTATTAACATGTTTCAGGGAGGCACCAGGCAGCAGTATGTGAGTTGGATGGCTCCATGTACGTGATCGGAGGTGCAGAGTCGTGGAACTGCCTCAACACTGTGGAGCGCTATAACCCTGAGAACAACACCTGGACTCTGGTGGCCCCCATGAATGTGGCTCGGAGGGGAGCTGCTGTGGCCGTTCATGCAGGTAGGAAAGCCAGACTCCACTGATCCTGGCGTCTTCCTAACGGTGATTCACTAACGTCAGAACTCATGGTGTTTTACAGGAAAGCTGTTTGTTGTTGGTGGGTTTGACGGCTCCCACGCTCTCCGCTGTGTGGAGGTGTACGATCCCGCTCGCAACGAGTGGAGGATGATGGGTAGCATGATCTCGTCCCGCAGCAACGCAGGCGTGGCCATGCTGGGTGAAACCATCTACGTCGTGGGCGGCTTTGACGGAAACGAGTTCCTGAACACGGTGGAGGTATACAACCCCGAGACGGACGAGTGGAACGACTGCGCCAAAGCCTCGACTCCCCTCTCTGACTGAGGGTGGGGGGTGTCAGTGGTTCAATGCTTCATCCATTTCCAAACTAACAGGCTTGGTGACGTAATCGTGCTTCGTGATGTTCTCTGTGTGTGTGTGTGTGGGGGGGGGGTGGGGGGGTGGTAGTAAAGGTGAGGAGTCTTCAGTGAAGACTTGTCTTAATCTTGGCAGGTGGGTGTGGGGCGGGGAGGGAGGGTTGTTGCCCAGGGCAACATGACACCTTTGCATATTGCATAAATTTGTTTTGTCTTGTATATATTTTGTTTCTTCCTCATTTTCGTCATGCCAACATTTAACACATGTAGTGCTTTTACAGTTTGTCATGGGGGGTGTAACATGAGGTAATTTTGTTCTATTGGCCGCTTTAGAAAGCGGCAGTATGAAGTGATTTGACTTCAGGATTTCAGTTTTTTGAAGATAAAATTTGTCACATATTTAAAGTTTAGTGGTTTTGAGCCTTACTTTCAGTACGAGTCTATAGACACCTCTCACAGCTTTTTGTGTCGTTTTAAATGAGCTGGATTGCTTTTGGACTCTTAAATAATTGCCTTTTTTATATTTTTATACACTGATTTACCTGTAAAAACTAGTAGTAGCAGAAAGCTTAAGTCAGTGACTCTAACCAGTGCCAGTTTTAGCTTTTTTGTGTGCACACGTGATACGCACAGCCATGCTTCTGCTAACCAAAATTTTCTTAATGTGATTTAATTAGCTGATAAATGTAGAGGTACAATTTATTGAAAATACTTTTGCCCCCCTCTATATTGTTTTAAATTGTCAGGCATTGGCAGATTTTTCTGGAAGGTGTGATGGAGAAAATTCACATTTGTAACATTTAATTAATAAATCATTGAAATCAAACTTTTGTCTACATCTGATTATAGTTTAAACCACTGCTTTTCTGACAACAGTCATCAGCAGGGTCTTATAGGAGAAATGAGCCGGCAGGGTCTCAGAATGTGTTGTGGTGGTGTGAGGACGATTCGAGGCTGTGGAGGTGCTCAAAGGGAACCCGCTGATTGGCCTTCCTGACTACAACCTCAGACACGTGGCTGCATGCCAGATCTGGAGAAATCCCTCCTGTGCTCTTTCACAGGTTACTCTTAAGTGTGCAGACAGTTGCATCAAGTAAAGGGGTAAGAAATGGGCCACATGTAGGAGGAAGCAGACTTAATACTGGCCCATCCATACTAGAATTTATGATTTAAAATATTGGTTTAATTTATTTATAAACAAGATTTCTGTTCAGCTGAAAACAGGAAAAACATGACTTGTGATTTTGTGCAGGATTTTAAGACTTCCTGTTGAGATGGATCTGCATCAATAGTCTAAATATAGCTACCTAAAAATAACCTCAGGTAGGTTTTTACTGTGGCAGTTACTGATGCACGACAGCCAGGAACAAAAAGTGCATCAACACGACTGATGTTTATTCTGAGCTGTGTGCCATGATTTTATAGGACAAAGTTCTGATCGATACTGGCTCTTATCTGCTTCAGCCCCTCACAGTAGCAGCAGTAATCCGTCTGTCGGCAGCCATCACCTGCCACTAAGCTCTACGTCACATGCGAGCCACGTTCAGTCGTGCACAGAAAAGCAGAGCACATGCACGGTGCTGGCATCTTTAAGGTCAGCAACCAAGGTTTAGAAATTTCTGCAGATTCAAAAAAAAAAAACCAAGACAAAACATCTTTGACAAATGTTTAATTTATCTGTATAAAACAATAAAAACTCTTCCGTGCGTATAAAGCCACAAATGTGTCAAACTTATGAATTTTCCCATTCATTCTCAATTTTAACTGGAAAACAAAATTATTGGAGAAGCTTATATTTGTGTTTATTCTACCTGCGTGTCAATAACTGGATAAATAATGGAGCTCTTCTCTATTTCGTTCTTTAAAACACACCCTTAATCCCTTCCTCTTTAAATAAATATTGTAACGTCAACATTTCCAAATAACTGAAAGATCTTAATAATAATCCATCTTGTGTTACATTAATTAAACTTTTGCTGAAAAGCTAGAAAAATATCTCAGATTTTTGTAAATCAAGCACTTTTCAAAACAATGCATCTGATCTTAGTTGTTACTCTGGTTTGGTCAGAACCAGCAGACTTGGCTGGGACAGACACATGCGCAGTCTGCAGAAATGAAAACTGAGTGATGGGTGTAATTTCACCCACACAGAGGGAGAGAGAAAGCAGGATTAATGGGTATGAAAACCAAATTTTGTTCCTCATGTTTGCATAGATAGATCTGTCAGCGATGAGGGTTAAGTCAGCTGGTTAGCAGCCAACTGCAGCAAACGAGCCCCAGCTCTTAGCTCGAACATATTTGCATGAACATAGTATTTTTATAGAACACTAAAAAATATCAAAACCAGTTTATTCAAAAATATTTCCCTATTTAAGGTTTATGCCTCGTTTACACTGAATGCAGAACAAATGTGGATCAGAATCTGTGCGGTTTCTGCAAAGACTGAAAATCACTGAGCCCAATCAGGGCATTCACACCGGATCCAGATCCTTCTTTCCATGTGGTTGCCATTTTTTTTTACAGATGCTGCAGCCAAATTGTCATGAAGTTGAAGAAATAACATGAACCAGACAGGAAGTGAGAAGTGTGGCAGTGAGGTGCATCTGGTTGATTTCAAAATAAAATGCTTCGTTATAATTGATGACAGGGATATTGGTTACAGTGTACGATAGTATGATCTCTACACACGTAGTGCGTGAACTCGTGAGCAACGTTGGGGAGATGTTTCACACATGATCTGCAGTTGGTGTAAATGGCAGTCTGACCAGAAGCCTAATAGATTCTGTTCCACATCCATTCAGCACTCGATGTGAAAGGGGCTTAAAGGCGGTTTCACACCAGCTGTGGTACAGAGACAGCCCGGTTACTGCACGGCCTCCAGGCGGACTGCCACTTACACCAACTACAGATGAATGTCTCCGGATAACTGATCCCACCAGAGGAGAATATGTTTAAAAACATTGCTGTAAAAACGACGTGAACTAACACACTGAACTGATATCCCTGTCATTAAAAATTAAACAAAATGGCAAATATAATTTGGTTTTATTTTGAAATATACAGGATGAACCTCACTGAAACATGTCTCACTTCCTGTCTGGCTCATGTAATTGTTTTAACTTCATGACAATCCGAATGAGACATCTGGAAAAATAAACTCCACGTGGAAACTAGCGGGAGTTTCACATCTGGATCCGCAGCCGGTGTGAATGCTCTGATTGGAACCAAAGTTTTTTGATCTACGCAGAAGCCGCACGGAAACCGGACCGCATCTGTGTTGCGTCCGGTGTGAACCAGGCTTCAGTCAGAGAGCATCTTTCGGTAGAAGCTACCACTGAAGCTAATTAGAAAAAAATTGTAAGGCTCAGTGGCATTTCAAAGATCCTTCCACAATCATCTGGTCCAAAAACCGAGAAAAAGCCTCAACAGACTTTTCTATGCAAACTCTATAATGGGTGAAACCTTTCAAAACAACTAAACATTAGTAGACCTTCATTAGTTTGGAGAAGAATGTTGTTCTGATATAGACACGAGTAAACAGATCCAGAACAGTTTGATTGAAGTTTGGTTGGATTTTCAGCATCTGTTTGGTGTTTCAGCACCGTTGAAGGCGGTGTGTTGACCCAAGGTCTGAGCACAACAGTCCAAGGCCTTTTTTAGCTCCATCAGCTGACTGCCTCCAACTCGCAGCTTCTCCCTGAGCGCAGAGGAAAAGAGTTTAACAGACACAACACGTGAATGAATAAAGAGCTGGAGAGGACAAGAGGGAGGGAGGAGCATTAGACTAATAACGGCACCTTAACGCTTCCCGTGTCATTTAGTCCACCTGTGCGGAGCGGAGAAACGACAGGAGCCTTGTGATAATTCTTCAACAACAATCTCCAGTTTAGAATATGTAGAAGTGCTGGAGAGAAGAGACGCTTAAAAACTTCCATCTGCTGGGAAAACTAATATTTTGACATTTTTCTGAATGTATTTTTTTTTCAGCTGCTGCATCAAAGACATCTTGGTTCTGATGTCGAGTGAATGAAAAAAAAAACATGTTCAGCATCAACTCTGGAGAAGAAAAATGACGAGTGAGAAATTGAATCTTTGAATGAAATTAAATAAGTTAAAGTCACTTGTGTTGAAGTTAAAGTCCCATTAGTTGTCACACACACTGATGTGTGTGCGAAATTAGGTCTCCGCATTTGACCCATCCCCTGGGGGAGCGGTGAGCTGCAGACACAGCCGCGCTCGAGAACCATTTGGTGGTTTAACCCCCCAATCCAACCCGTTAATGCTGAGTGTCAAGTAGGGAGGCATTGGGTCCCATTTTTTCAAAGTCTTTGGTATGACCCGACCAGGAATCGAACCCTGATCTTCCAGTCTCAGGGCGGACACTCTACCACTAGGCCACTGAGCTGGTTTTATGAGCGGCCCGGTGTGTTGGTTTCTGCAACACACCCTGAATGTTGTAGGTTCTACAGGGAAAGCTCATTAAGTTGCAGGATGACAGCAGTAACTTCCAAAAGCACGTGTTGTTTTGGATTTTAACTACATAGTTTTAACAGAATATTGGGGAATAACGGACAAGTAACAAGCACATGAAACCGCCTCCCTCCGAGTCAAACTTCCAAATATGTCTGCTTCATGGAGAAAGAGGCTTTGATGCTGTTATTTCTAAACTTTTCCACAACTTTGAATGTAAAACAGCTCAAACTGTAGAAGAAAACCTTTAGACCATGTGTGGTATTTGACTAAAATAGGATGAGCAGCTTAAAATACAAAATACATTCTACTGCAGCTTCCAGAAACTTCAATGGACACCATTTCTCCTGACTTAACCAAATGTTCCTCTGGTCTAGTTTTTCCTGACAGTAAATCATTCTCCAGAAGCAACCACCACCCAGCCACAGCGCTGGCAATAGCTGCTTAGCAGCAGAGTCACTGAGGGAGTTTGTTGTGTGTGTGTTTCCTTGTCTGTTCTGTTCCCATCGGAACGTTGTGTAACAAACAGGAGGGAATGAGGAGAACACGTTTGAGTCTCGGTGAACAGCAGAGAACGTCTTGGCTAGTAGAAGCTAACTGTTAGCATTAGCAGCACCGCCACAGAAAAACTCCTCCAGGCTTGTGCTATTTGTGAAGAAAAAAACATCCACGTAGAAAGTCAGTGGTAGAGGCGCGTTGCTGTTATCCATCTGAGGTGAGATGTTCAAATATGAGGAAATAAGACTTCAAATCCTGCTGTCTGCTGCCACTCTGTGCAGCAGCTGCAGCGTTGACCGTGATGATTCAAGCAATTCAGAGCTTTTGTTTTCCAGAGAACACCATGCAACGCCTTCATCCCTACCACAACCATCGCAAATGTATTGATTAAACGAGTTTCCCACACTTTTGATGTTCACCATTCTAACCTGCTACTCAGTTGCAGAAGGTTAGTGGTGCACTTGTGAACAAATGATGCGTTACGCAACATTCATTTTGTGTGTTTAACGGGTAAACCATGAATAGAAACATGAACCACTGAAAGGATTTTTTTTTGGAGATTTTATTCTGGTCCCGTTTAAAACAGCTTCCCACCGTGTATCCGACCTACACAATGCTGCCTTCAGTGCCTTGGACACAGGTGTCTCCATGCGTCTTCTTAATATTATCAATTTCCTCTTAATTTTTGCTGGTTAAAGCTGTTACGACAAATCTGCAATCAAGCTTTTGAACGCAAACACGGTCATGGAACACTCACGCCCTCCCTCAGGTATCTCCCCTGAGATGCTTTTGCTGGAAGCGGACACCCACATTTCCTGAGGAAACGAGATAGTGCTAAACACCAGTAGCCATTTTCTAGGTTTTCTGAACGTCAAGAAAAACATCTATTCCACCTTTAATAATAATCATTTTGTCAACATTCACCCAGAATTCTTATTGAATAACCAAAGCAAAAAATTAAAAAGTATTATATCCCAGAGGTGCACTGATAACATAGGGTGCCATTTGTAAAGTCCAACAGTCATAATTTAAAGCAGCTTTCCAGAGTTTTTGCCTTTCAGAAATTATGCATGATTTGTCAGAAATCCGTAAAAGTAATTGTCTCATCATGTACTGTGATAGGATATAAGCAATACGTCTTTTTTTTTTTGCTAGTATGCCCCCTGCCCCGCAGAGCTCCGTGCAATAGGAACCTGAGCGCCGACCAGAACTAACCAATAGTGTTAGACTACCACTTGCTTCAAATTTATGGAATACCTTGGCTGATGCAAAGTTGATGAACTTTTCACGGACAAGTAAGCCTCTAAAATATAAATATATAAGAACACAGCATGACGTGAGAATAGTACTCGTAAAACAACGTGTTTTAGCTTTTTAGTTGAAAACATTTAGTTTGTAAACTAAATAATTTAGTTAAACTAAATTTAGGGCAACAGTGGCACAGGAGTTAAGTGCTCGCCCCAGTGGCGGTTTTACCATTACCCCCAAATTCCACTACCTCCGCTCCGCCCCCGCCTTCCGCAGCCGCTCGCTTCCGAACTCAATTTTTACTGGTACCCGCTCTACAACGGCTCCGCTCCGGTGCGGAGACCTGAGGGGGGCAAACAAGCATGCGCGGGATTTTCGAGATCTTGCGATACAGTCCGAGCAATAAACGCGGAAGTTAGATCCAAACACCCATTGTGTGGGAGAAGCATCGGCATGAACTGTTTAATCTGCCCATCATTTGTGTTGAGAGATCAGCAGTGTATGGATCAACAAAGTGTGACTACTTTGATAGTAGAAACTGTATTTATGGCTTACTTTTGTGCATTTAAACTTCAGCCGCCATTGATAGTTGTTAAAAGTTGTTAAACCTGTGCATATGAAACAAAAAACGCCTTTTTATCGATTTATTGTGAAAAACGGAAATTGTGCTTGCTCCTTTTCCTGTTGGGCCGTTGTGATTTCTGTCCATTTACTGCGGAGGTGCTCCGGCGTCCGGTGAAAATAGGATCGATTCTATTTTTGCCGGACGCCGGAACAGAGGGCGGCGCACGGCGCCGCACTGCCGGAGCACAGCCGCAGTAGTGGAATTGCTCTGATTGACTACAACGGGACCGATTTTGCTCCGGCGTTCGTGTCGGAGCGGAGCGGAGGTAGTGGAATTTGGGGGTTAGGCATAGATCGGCGGCCGCCTGGGGCCCCCTTGTGTTGGGGGGCCCCTCTAGCCCTGCCCGCCGGCACCCCTCTGTTAATGCCACAATATTCTTATTACCAACCTGTCGCCACCGACGGGATTGGACATGCACACTTCTCATTACCATAATTCCTCAACCATTCAAGATATCTGTACAATTCCAAAAGTATTGAAAAGATTAAAAATGTGGCGTTTCGTGCATATACAAAACATTACGGTAGCCACCGCGATTCCCTGTCTTGAGCACAACAAATCACAACACAGATTCAGAGACGTGCTGAGTTTGTCATCCACAATGCTCCATTTTATAACTAAGGACTAATAAAGAGGGAAAATAACTCATGTCAGAAGAGGGGAGAGTTTCGCGAACCCAGTTAAAGGTAAGATTGTCAAAAATTTTGTGTAAGGGGCCCCATGTCTGTGTTCGCCTTGGGCCCCCAAATTGCTAAATCCGCCACTGGCTCGCCCCATAATCGGAAGGTTGCAGGTTCGAGTCCCGCTCAGTCTGTCTCTGTCGTTGCATCCTTGGGCAAGACAACTAACCCACCTTGCCTGCTGGTGGTGGTCGGAGGGACCGATGACACCTGTGTACGTCAGACTTGCCTCTGTCAGTGCGCCCGAGGGCAGTTGTGGCTTCAATGTAGCTTATCAACACCAGGGTGTGAATGGGTAAATGACTGGTGTTGATAAGCTACCGCCTTGGGGTGTTCCAGAACTCTAGAAGGCACTATATCAAATACAGGCCATTTATTTACCATTTAAAATAAATATTTAGGTCAGACTTGAATATTTAGTTTGTGAACTAAATGATGACTAAATATTTTGCTCCAAATTAAATATTTTGTTAGTAAATTAAATATTTAGGTTACAACTAAATATTTAGTTTCTAATTAAATATATAATATAATAAATATAATGGGTCTGAAAAAATTATTTAGTTTGTAAAATAAATATTTAACTAAATTAAATATTTGGCTTGCTAACTGAAATTCAGTTGGGAACTTTAACATTTACAGATGTATGACTAACATTGTGAAAATATGACTGAAAAATTAACTCCCATTTTTTTCTCTTATGACAGGCTAAGCAACTCAAAATGTTGATATTTAGTTATGACTGTTTGACTTTACAATGGCACCCCATATGATTAAAGGATGAAAGCATAGTTTCTGTGTGTCATCATGGTTCTGAGTCAATCATCCATGATGAGAAACAGTGACGGCGTAGCATTTAAACACACCCAGCAGAAGATGATGCAGAATTAAGTCTTGAGCTGTGTTCTGTGGATCTGAGTAACTGAGCCGAGCAGTAGGTCCTTTAGGAGCTAAGATGATGCATATGACTAACCTGGACGCATGTAAGGAGCTGAAGAGCCTGAATGACTTAATAAAGTAAGAAATGACATAAAGCTCAATGCCGGCATGCGATTCAAACACATGCTGCCTGGAAAACGACTCATCCACCTTTATCAGCGATGTCACTCAGCAGCTAAGCTGGGCTGCATTAAAAGCCATTAGCACTGACGTTACATCCACATGTAAAAATAAGCCAGGAGCAGCCAACAGATGTTCCTAAACAGCCTCAGGACAATTCCTGATGCAGAATATCCACATGGAACGTTCTTACATAAGGAAGTATATTGCATTCAGTTGAAAAATAAATGTAAAAAAAGCTGCTTTTCTAAATTCCCAACATAATATTTTAATAAAGCTCATTTTCTCTGATATCATGACAATTTTTACATAAAAAAAACGGTTTCTTCTGAATTACCACGAGAATTTTACATAAAAATATGCTTTTAGCATCCCCTAGTGTCTGTTAGTAAAACCAAAAATAAACTTATGTCCTTGCTGTGTGTTCCTCTTAACACCTTCATCTAACAGCTGAAATGTCTCCTCAGCCTTCATTAGTGTCTACAGGAGTGGTTCATTACTAGATCAAACAAATCAGCTGTGTTCACAATCTAAAACATGTAGGAAGTGTGCTGGCAGCAGACTGCAGCGCTGGCATCTCAGCTTTACTTTACTAACCCCAACAGGGTCTGGACCAGCAATCTGAAGTTGCAAGAGTGATATTCTGGCCACAGAGGGCGGTGGGGGTCTGAGTGATATTTCATGAACCCTGTAAAGGGTCATTTTAGCACATACTGGCTCAAGAAAATGATTTAAAAACTTGAAAAAGTTGCAAAGTATGGCTTTATACTCAACAAACTGGAGATCCTCTTACTTAAATATGCCTACAGGAGCTATTATTTTATCTATTTATTTATTTGTTTAGACGTTAATTCAGAAAAAGAGCTTTATGAATAAATTTCAGGTGAATGCAATATGCTCCCATACTTCCATTCGCCTAAAAATACTAAACACACATCAGGCTTTCTGTTGTGTGAAGGAAAGTTGAAAATTCAGAAATATAAGCAAACACACAGCCGATTTAAAAACCCTCGTAACAAAACCCTTAGACAACGGTTATCGCCTGTCTGCTCTTATCAGCTGATGCCCGCACACGCACCCTTATGTAACTTGTGACATCATGCAGGTCGGATCAATTATTTAACAGCACAGATAATGCACTAGCTAAGGAAAGGCCCGATCACTTCACAGAGAATGTGAGAGATAAAAATTTCAGCAGCAGGACACCGTCGGCTCAGTCGTGTCCACTGGTGGCGACCTGGTGTAAGGAGGGCTGAATTCCTGTGACGAGAGAGAAACTGGAAAGCACCAGCTGATGTTTTACTTTAATGCTAAATATTCACCACTTTCCTCGTGGTGTCACATTACTAATCACTACAAGGAGAATTTGAAATCCTGGGTAAAATGAGGTTGTAAAATCCACCAGTGCCAAGTGTGTCACATCAATTATTTAAAGGAATAAGCATCTATTATGTCTACAAGTGGATGTTCCACATGTTGTTAGAATAAAAAAGTTTCAAACTGTCAGACAGCAGCTTTATGAGAGGACATATAATGAGACATAATCTGTTTAAGACAGATGCCTGTGGCTTGTTTCCATGGCAGCAGCCAGGTTTAACCTGCAGGCACAAGGATGGGATCAGATCTACTTCGCTATGCAGACAGGCAGCTGATTCTGCTCATCTATCCAGACTAGAACGTAAATTAAACAGGAGTTTAGACTCAATAAACACACCAATAACCAGTACAGCACAAAACTTTATGCTGATTTTATTAAGACCAAAAGCTAAGTGTGTTGGTTTCGAGCAGCGTCTTCACTTTATCAGCCTTTAATCACAATTTCTAAATAATCATATTTAAATAACAAATAATATAAGAGAAGAAGCACTTTAATAAAACTCAGCATCTTGTTTCAAAGAATGCAAATAACCTGTTGTGATGTGAAAGTTTTAAATTGATACGAATAAGGATTTGTGAGGACAAACTACTGGAACCAAAAATGTTACTTTAAAGGACTCATTCACTGAGAAACCGCGTAATTCTTGTTCTCTTTTAAACACGATCAGTCCCTCCGAGTTTCACATGCATGCTGAACATGTAAATATTCTTCGAATCTCATGGCCTGCATTAACTGCAGAAAGGAAATAGACAAGAAAACGGTCGAGTCAGGAAAAAACAGCCCGTTCTACGCCTCAGGCCCCGCCCACTTTGGCTTCTGACCTCAGAGGGTTGTACTGATTTAGCAGCCAGGAGAGAGCAGAGTGCGTCTAGGTTTGTAGAATTTGATTTGAATTGTTTATTCATAAAGCATGTTCCTGCTGCCAGTCGAGGAGGCTCGAGAACAAAATGCACAGAAACATAAAACAATATAAATGCAACTAAATAAAAGAGTAAATCAATAAAAAACAAAAAAGATTTTGAAAGCAATAGAGTAATTTGAAGAAACACAAAAACATTAATAAAACCAGCTAACTGATTGGTTTTTAAAATTGGGACAATCGTGGGCTGTTATCTCTGACGGAAGTTGGTTCCCGAGCCGAGGACCTATAACTGAAAAGACACGATCACCCCTAGTCTTGCATTTGGACCGAGGAACCTCTAACAGGTCGCTCTCAACCGAGCATTGAGTTCTTGAAGACAAGTGAAGCTAGGTATGGTGGCGCTGATCCGGACAGAGTTCTAGACAAAAACAGGATTTGGACCAGAACAAGGTATTCCACTGGTAACCAGTCAAAGGCAGCCAGGAGGGGAGTAACACACTCCCATTTTCAGGCTCCACAGATGAACACTGCAGCAGCATTTTTTACAGATGTAACTATGACAGTGAAGACTGGTTCAAGCTGGCATAAAAATAATTGCAGTAGTCCAATCTAGACATGTTAAGAGTTTGGAACAATCTCTGGTTTCTATTTTGTGAGCATTGGCTTAAACGTTGCTAAGCGCCTGAAAAAAATAAAAACACAAGAATGAACAATTGCGTTCATCCGCACATTGAATTTAAAGAGCAAGTCACCCCCAAATCAACTTGTTTTTGCTGATAAACTATATAAATAAGTGTCTAATTGTGCTGTAGACCCATGCGGTCAATCATTTGGTACTTTAGCGCACTTTAAAATTTGAATATTCTGCCAAAAACTGTCAGCATTGCGCCATCATCGGGTAAAAACTCTGCACTGCATTTGAATTTAAAGAGCAAGTCACCCCCAAATAAACATTTTTTTGCTGATAAACTAAATAAACGAGTGTCTAATCATGCTGCAGACACGTGTCGTCAATAATTTGGCACTTCAGTGCATCTTAGTTAAAATTGAAATATTCTGCCTAAAACTGGCTGTGTTGTGCCGTTGTCAGGTAAAAACTCTGCACTGCATTCTAATTTAAATCTGCCACCACTATTGGCTAAGAAGTATGCTATGATGTAATCTGGTACATTATGATGTCACAATGCTGTCGTGAGCCTGAGTGTGTGTGTATTTGTTAGCAGCTCCGCCCTCTCGGTCTGCCAGGCAACGGCATTTGTTGCATTTTTCAAATATGAAGTGGGAGTGGAGTTAGACTCTGGTAGGGGTTGACTTACTCTTTAAATTTGCCATCGCTATCGGCTAAGACCTGGTACATTATGATGTCACAATGGCGTTGTGAGCCTGTGTGTGTGTGTATTTGATAGTGGCTCCGCACTCTTGGTCTGCCAGGCAACAGCATTTGTTGCATTTTTCAAACATGAAATGGGAGTGGACTAAGCCTCTGGTAGGGGGTGACTTGCTCTTTAAGGGCTGAGTCAAATCTGACACCCAAATATGCGACCACAGGCTTCTCGTAGAGGAGCAACAAAAGAAGCTAACCAATAGCAACTTAACAACCTGGCAGAACAGGTTTGGGCTCGTGTTATGTGTGGAGATTAAACATCAATCTTATACTTTTACCCAAAAAGAAAAGGGCGAACGAAGGCAACAGAAGAGTCACGTTGCTGTTAGCCAATCAGAGCAGAGATGTTCGCATATCATGAATATCAATGAGTGAGTGACTCCAAACTCTGTCGTTTTCTTCTCCCTACTCTTCAGACTAACTTCTGCCCTCTAAAAAAAGAAGCCCCAGAGTTTCTTTTCCACCAAAATCGACTCAAGGCATTCATTTAGACTAGACCACTGCAGATTTATTGAAATAAATGAATGAACGAGAACTAGAAAAGTGTTCCACCTCCAGTAAAACTCATACAAATGAGTCCATGACTATCCCAGCAATCTTTCTAAAACCTCACTAACACTCATGTAAAAGTCCTTCCACATGACAGATCAGCTGTTTGATTTCCTTATCTCCTATAGGTGAACAAACAAAAACAAAATGTCCTGTTGTTATCAGCACATGTTGGTATTTTCACTGCCTTCTACCAGAGACAGTCAACACCTGATACGGATTGAGCAAGTCTCAAACTCTGGACAAGCTCGACGAGTTAGAAACGTATTTACTACATGAGCATTTATGAGTTATTGTGCAAGATCTGCTACACCTTAACTGTCCAGTTAAACTCAATTGTTTTTTAAACGAGTATCTCGTGCTTCCTCCTTGTAAAAACGTGTTCAGGACCACAACTGAGTCTTGTCAGAATAAACCTTGCGATAAGGACATGGGTAGGGTTACTAAAACACCAGCTTAGGGTTTCTGAAGTGTAAAAGGTCTACAGCCTCTCTTCAATGAAATGTGTTAATAATGAATGTTCCAATTGTCTGGAAATGTTGGCATGGACACCGTCAAGATCTGCTGGGGATACCAACAAAGGAGGCTGTGATGATGGAGCGGCTGTTGCAATTCAGGAAGGACACACACACACAAACATGTCCAGGCAAGTTGAAACAGAGTGTTAAGAATCCAGGGAACTAGTTTGAATGAGATGTCCTTTTTAAAGGAAGACTCCATAACCTCAGATGATCAAAGAGACAGTGGTGGGTGGGTGTGTGTGTGTGCGTGCGTGCGCACGTGTGTGTGTGATTCCTACCTGTAATGTGGTTGTGTGAAACAATCATAGAGATCTTCAGCTGTTAATCTGCAGTTTTCATTATCAATCTGAAAGAAATCCGATATGTGAATGACCAACGTGGCCAAAGAAGCAAAGATATCTGAGAACCAGTTGTGTGTTCAACACAAACCTTGATGGAATAGATGATGTTGAGCAGATTCCGGACTTCGTTTGGATCAGGGCTTGAGCAAAAGAAGCTAAGAGACAAAAACACATATCTTTGAGAAGGCTTCACTCCAGCTGTTAATGAAAATGAGCTGAAAAGGTGTTATTACCAGGATGAAAAATAAAAAGTACATTTACAAACCCAACTAAGTAAAAAAATCCATTAAGAAGTATGTTTTCTTCAACAATGTTTTATCTTCATACATACAAGGAATGCAGATTTGGATCTATGCTTTTGCAAATCTCCAATGGAGTGGAGAATGAGGGAAACAGAATGGTTCCATTTGTACAGAATCTGGAATTTTCTACATCTAGAGTCTGCAGAAAGAGGAAAATGAGCGCTAGGGAGGCTTGCCCAAACACGTGAAATTGAATTTGGCTGTTTCCTAGGCAACGGTACTTTAGCAGCCCAACACACACGGCTATACAGAACACAGAAAAGCAAATCCACTCTCTGGACTAATGTCTTTAAAGCTAAAGCTTAATCTGAAACACTGAAGAGAGAGTAACAAATGCCATGATGTCTGAGCTAACGCATTGTTGGGCTGTAGATCTTTAAAGTGAGCTTAGGTTGTTGTTGCACAGCTGAGGTTTGCTTTGAGCCTGCAACCATTTGACAAATGAAATAACTGTCTGATGTGGAATGGCTGCAACACTTTTGCTTTGAAGCTGGAAAGTTCAAGTTTGAGTGGTGCAATGGTAAAAAAAAAAAGTTTCGTTTTGAGCAGCAATTAGTTTGTCACAAATGTTGTCAATTAAGTAGTCTTTTTTTGACATCACAAGATCATGCATGCAAATCAAGCATCACTACAAAAGGAAATATACAGGGAGCCTAAACCCCGGCTTTCCACCGGAGCCGTCAGCAGCACGTTACTGCAGCAGCACGTCTTGCTCGCGTAAGCTGCTGCTTGGCCCTTCCCACGAGACGCAAAGCAGCAGGGGAGCAGCTGTCACCGACCGAGCACGAAGTCACACGAGTGACTTCGTCAGTAAACACAACAACAAGCAGGAGAAAACTACAACATGGCTCCAAAAGGTTTGTGTTTTATGTTCTGTCCGTTTTATAATCGCCAATACAGACCTAAAAAATAAAGGAGACCGCTAGCTAGGTGATAACTTCTCACGGGGTCGCACAGTTAGTACCTGTTTTTAAAAGTAAAGCAACCGGAAGGCAGTACGTTTCTTTATTCTGAAAATCTCGGGAGCTTCTCTCCATTTCCGCGTCCGATTTCCTGTCTTTCCTTCCCCAAAAATGTCGAACTTGACCCGTTTCAGAGGCGTTGCGCATAGAAAATAGAACCGGCGCGTAAAGGCCGCGACACGCTGCTCCTGAGACGCGGCCGACTCGCGCTGCTGACGGCTCTGGTGGAAAAGGTTCTGTTGACCACAGCGGTTCCTATCAGCAGCTATGACGTGCTGCTGCAGTAACGCGCTGCTGACGGCTCCTGTGGAAAGCCGGGGTAAGTCTCCTCCCTTTCCGGTTGGCTCATGGGTCCCTGGAAGAATGAAAAAATGAATGCAAGTGAACGGGGCTAAAAGAGATTATTTTCTAATCTACTTTGCCTTATGCCCTGGATCACACATATGTTGTACTGCAATTTAAATGAAAAGTAATCATGTATATTACGACCATGCCTGTCACATACTTTAATATTTACCAGCTTGTAAAAGTTTGTAATTAGCAAGATTACAAATTGCCATTGGCACGTCGCATATGTGATGTCGCCACAGATTCTCCTCTCCCCTAGCGTAGTTGCTACTTACCAAATGGTTAGATTTATGATGGTTCTTTCCTGAAGGAAGAATGAGAAGTTCACTGAACTTATAGACATTTTTCCTCAACTTTTCTCCGTGTATGGTTCGATGACATCAGTTTGGTGATGTGCGTTTGTATTTTAACACAAAACCTGAAATAATGTTTCTTCCCATTCGAAAATAAGCACGTTCGTGGAATCATAATGGTCTTTAAAATTCACGGACATCACATGTGAAATCCATGGCACATAACAGATTTAGAAAATAGCATTTTTAGCCCCATTGACTTGCAATATTTTTTTTTGTTCTTCAAGGGGCCCATGGTCTGGAAGTAGATGGGCGGCACTTAGGCTCCCCTTAGAGAACGACCAATATGGGTGTTTCGATTTCCATCGCTGTTATGTAGAGGTCAGTGTAAGCTAAAATCTTTGGCCCGATATCTAGACGTTTTTCACCTTATTTCCCATAAAATTTCTCAGTAACTACGGTGAATGCACAAAAGTTCTGAGCCTGATCAGCTTTTGAACACAGAATTTAACCAACACTTTAAACTTAATCTTGTACAAAATTGAATATTTAACCAAAGTCAATCAAACAAAGCAATGCACTATTTTATTAAATATTCAAAGCAGGTGAATAAAAATAAATTTCAGTTGACAATAATAATGTTTTAGAGCATTTATTATGCAGATGTCTTTCAGGAATGGAACTGTACACCCACTGATGAGCTAGACTTTAAATGGGCTCTACTCAAAAGGAGTGCTCTATCCTTATACTGTATTTTAAAGTGAATATATGATGCAAAACTCACCTTTTGCATCCTTTTGTGCTGCCATGTGGGTATCTACTGCTTCTATAAACATTTCAAACATGAAAAAAAAAAAACCTCATCCACCCATTTTATGTCCGTGTTTGGTTTTAGGAATTATTTGCCTGAAACAAGCCATTTCAGAAGTCTCTATATGTGACATCACAAACAGGGAAACCAGACTTGAATCTGCACCGAAGGGCCTTGAGTATGTTAGTACCTGTTTTTGTCTTCTTAAACTTTTGCTTTGCACTATCTTCCATTGGGAAAAGAGAAGGAAACTCATCTGTGAGTAATCCTGTTGTCTAGTAGCTCCGGTTAGGGCCAAGTGAAAACAATAAGTGCAATCAGGGGCTGTGAACGAGCTGTTTCTCCCCTCCCTGAAAACACTAAACAGGTGATCTAGGTCTCAACCATTGCAATCAGCTGCTGCATGAACACCTGTTTCCAATTAGTAGCACAGCATAAGTTTGGTGGCATAAGTGAAGCGTCAGCGGAAGTGTCAGCCCTTGTGTCTCCAAGCTTCTCACGTGCAGCCGCCCTACTACATGCCCACTTGACCCCATTCTGACTAAGCTGCTCCAAGCCATTGCTCCTACAGTAGCCGCAGCAGTCACACATGTGATCAACGCATCACTGACATCTGGTACATTTCCCACCTCTCTCAAGCATGCTCGGGTTAAACCGCTGCTAAAAAAACATCTCTTCCTCCAAATCATGTGGAGAACTACCGACCTATCTCTCTCCTGTTTTTTCTGTCGAAAATTATTGAAAAGGTGGCTTTCAAGCAGATCACAGAATACCTCTCACAAAACTGTCTGCTTGACCCTTACCAATCTGGGTTCAAAAAGGGCCACTCCACTGAAACTGCTCTGTTAGCAGTGACTGAATCCTTAAAAGAAGCTAGAGCGACAGGCAAATCCTCAGTGCTTATCCTGCTTGACTTTTTGGCTGCATTTGACACCGTCAACCATGGCTTCCTTTTGTCCACACTCTCTAGTATGGGCATCACAGAGAAAGCACACGCCTGGTTTGAATCGTACCTCACAGGACGATCATTCGGTGTATCTTGGCTTGGACAATCCTCTACCGTGCACCATCTTGCCACAGGAGTCCCCCAGGGCTCTGTACTAGGATCTCTTCTCTTTGCCATATACACCACCTCACTGGGTGAGATCATTCGATCACATGGCTTCTCCTACCACTGCTATGCAGACGACACCCAGCTCTATCTGTCATTTCCACCGGACGACCAAACTGTCTCTGCACGAATATCAAACTATCTCTCTGACATATCAAAATGGATGAAAGCCCACCATCTCCAACTCAACCTCTAAAACTGAACTACTTGTCATTCCAGCAAAACCATCCATACAGCACAATATCTCACAATATCTCATTCCAAAATGACTTCCTATCTCTGGCTCCTTCAAAGGCAGTTCGAAATCTGGGTGTTGTGATTGATGAACACCTGTTGCCTCTGTTGCTCGTTCATGCCGCTTTGCGCTGTATAACATACGAAAGATCAGACCATACCTAACAAAACATGCCACCCAGCTCCTGGTGCAATCTACTGTCATCTCCCGCCTCGATGACTGCAACGGCCTTCTAACTGGTCTTCCAGGCTGTACTGTGAGACCTCTTCAAATGGTCCAGAACGCAGCAGCACGTCTGGTCTTCAATCAGTCAAAAAGAGCACACGTCACCCCTCTGTTCATTGAGCTCCACTGGCTACCGCTAGCAGCATGCATCAAATTCAAATTGCTAACACTAGCGTACAAAGTCCGAGATGGTACGGTTCCCATCTACCTGAATCCTCTTGCAAAGGCTTACGTCTCGGCCCGGCCGCTCCGGTCATCACAGGGCCATCAGCTAGCAGTGCCTACACCACGCTCAGGACAATCCAGACTCTTCTCATGCATTGTTCCACAAATGTGGAATGACCTTCCAAGCACTACCAGAACAGGAGCTTCCTTTTCAATTTTCAAGAAACTCCTGAAGACCCTGCTCTTCAGAGAGCATCTTCGTAACTAGCACCCTCCCTGCACCCGTCCCCACCTCTCTACTGTCCACTCCTTGTTCCCTCCTCTCCTTGAATGATGTCAAGTTGTTGTTGTTATTGTTAGCCTCAAGGGTAATATGCCGATTATCACTTGTAAGTCGCTTTGGACAAAAGCGTCTGCTAAATACATAAACATAAACATAAACAAAAGAACCACCTGTCAGGTGCTGGAGGAGCAGTAGCTCTACACAGAGCCCATCCCAGATAGAGTTTCTCAGCTTATAGCAGCCTGAGCCAGGATAGATGGTCACGGCCAATTCCAGCTTGTTTTTTTTATGACAAAGCCCTAAACGACTCATTCTGGGCGGTAATGTCAAGAATAAAACTGCTAAAATTGCTTAATGTGAAAGGGATTTGGTGCAAAGAACTTCATTAACGTGTTTTTATAATCAACCATAGCACTATTGTAAATGAAGACAAAAAGGTTATGGCTTTTTTTAAAACACAACATTTTACAAACTAAATATACACAAAATTGGGATTTTTTTCCTCCTCTTGTCAAAAAAAGACACATTAATAACGTTAAATGCACTCAGATCTTAAAATTGATCTACACGTGGAAGGAAATGCCAAGAGTTTTCCAGGAAAATCCTTTTCCTATGGGAAGGGGAGTGGAAATGGCTTCATTCTGACAACAGATGACCAGAAGAGCTGCATGCGTGTGTGAATGGGTGAATGACTGATTGCGTTGTGAAGCACCTTGGGGGGTTGTATGTAAAGAGAGATTGAGATATCAGCTAAAATAATGGTTCTGACTCAAACTCACTGATATAAGGTGTGCGTAAGACAATACGCTTCACAGTAATGAGAAAATGCCAGAAATATTAGTGCTGCCAGAAATTTCTAGAAGTTGCCAGAATGCCACTCCTCCTCTCTCCTCCACAAACCCACCCACACACAAATACATGTACACACACACCCCTTTAAGACTTACAGGAACAACGTGGCCTCTAAAAATAAAAGTAGAGTTTCTGTGTCAGAACTCGTTTTTAATTTTGCTGTAGAACAAAGAGGCAACACGGCAAACCTTTAAAACACTAAATGTGAAAAATGATAACAAACTAAGATCCTGTTACTGATTCCATCACAAAAAGCTCTCTCAACAGCGCAACATGAGGTCACATCATCACCAAACATGTCTCAATATCAAACAGAATAAAAAATAGCCCTCAAACACATCAATATTGCATTTTATTAACATATTCTTCAGATTTAAACTCCTTAAAAATAGAAGCTGGTCTCTGAGAGAAACTCTGGTAAAACTTCAGTAACATAAACCCTCCATAAAAGCACCTAAAATTTAAATTGTGTGAGTCAGCCAGGATCGAGGCAAGAGGCAGAAAAAGGAATCAGAACAAGCATAATGCTGGAAATAAAGTGTACTGTGGTGAGTGCACAAAAATACCAACAAAAGAGTGATGATCAAAAACAAAGCAGGGCAGGATGAATCTGTCGAGACTTAAAGAGCAAATCCCCCCCAAATCAACTTGTTTTTGCTGATAAACTATATAAATAAGTGTCTAATTGTGCTGTAGACCCGTGTGGTCAATCATTTGCACTTTAGTGCACCTTAGTTAAAATTTAGATATTCTGCCTAAAACTGTCAGTGCTGCACCATCGTCGGGTAAAAACTCTGCACTGCATTTGAATTTAAATTTGCCATTGCTATTGACTTAAGAGGTACACTGTGACGCTAGCTGGTAAGTTATGATGTCACAAAGACGTTTGTGTGTGCGTGCGTACGCGTGCGTTTGTTAGCGGCTCTGCCTTCTCGGTCTGCCATGCAACAGCATTTGTTGCATTTTTAAAACATGAAATGGGAGTGGAGTAAGACTCTGGTAGGGGGTGACTTGCTCTTTAAGCTGTATTGTGATTCAGAGCAAGTTATGGGCAGATATTTCTTCTTGTCACCCCCTCATCACACGTTTGACTTGCTCTTTAAATATGTAAATGTGGAATAAAGTAAATAAGATCATTTTTTTCATTCTGTTAAGTTGTTTACCAAACAAATTATTTTCTGGAAGACATAAAAACTGATATAAAATCTCGGTCAAAGTATGATTTATTATATTTATCCTCAGAAAGACCCATAAAGTAGGTCCGGTTGTTTGGGGCAAAATGCATGCAGAGATTGTTTTTAGAAGTACAGCATAAAAACCCTGTTAATACTTCAATATCAAGTGCGTAAAAGACTGTCTTGCAATTTTATTGTTTAAAAAGTAAACAATGTGAGGATTTTTTTTAAAGCGGAATACATAATTAATAATCTGAGATTATCAAAATGTTAGTGTTACTGTTTTGAGTAAAACTTTGAGGGGAAAGAAAACAACAGGCTGCAAAAATCTGCATGAGAAAGCAGATTCAAGCTCAAGTTGAAAGTGAAAAATGTCTGCAGTTAAAATAAGAAGTTGTTGTTAAACATTCTTTTCCACACCTGTCAAACACGTTGTGTAAGAAGAATGTTAGTCAGGTAGGTGACAGCAAACCGGTGAAACCATTTTTTTTGTTTTCAAACAGAAATACAAAAGAAGCGAGGCAAGTCCAGCATAGAGCCCTGCACGGGCCTAAAATCTGAGCCCGTGTCCGGCCCGGCCCGAGGGGGTGGAGCTCCAGCCCGACCCGGTCCGAAAAGGTTTTCAGGATTCTCTGGCCCGACCCGAGCCCGACTTCTTTTTTTTTAACCTTTCATAATGCTTTAGCGTGATAGAATGCTCAGCGTTCTAATTATCTGCGAGAAGCGTTCTGCAGTACAAAAAAAAGAAAGAAAGAGAGAAAAACCAGCATCAATGCAGCTTTTTTTCCTATCAGAGCGTATTTTTCGAGCGGCAGATGAAATTTACGAACACTATATTAATTGGATGCGTTTGTAAATTTAATCTGCTCTGAAAATGCGCTCTTTTGCAATTAGAAAAAAAAGCAGCATTCTAATTTTCTAACTGCAGAGCGCATTTTCAGAGCGGCAGATTAAATAAACGCCCCCAATTATTATAGCGTTTGTAAATTTAATCAGTCGCTCTGAAAATGCGCTCTGCAGTTAGAAAAAACCCAGCAATGAATACTGTATTTTTTTAACTGCAGAGTGAATTTATTCATAGAAAAACAGAATGCTGCCATTTGCATGAGAATAAACGAATATCTGACATATCAAAGTGGACATAAAATGGCATATTAGAATAGGGGCACATGTTTCAATCAGCAGTTTGAGAATTTGTTTATATAGGCGCGTTTATAAACCACACAGACCTTAACTGAGCTAACGGGTGCTGGTGCGTGAGAAGCAGGCAGGTGCTGCTGCGTTTAAGGGTTTCAGTTTTTTTAAAGAATTCGATTAAAAATAAAGGTGCCCGGCCCGTTTCCGAGGTAATTACACATTTGTTGGCCCGAAGCCCGGCCCTTGGGCCGTCGGGCCGAGCCGACCCGCAGGTCTAGGGCTTCAGTGCAGGGCTCTAGTTCAGATGAACAGCCATGGACTACATGCATTCGTGCAGGTAAAAGCGCAAATCAGCAGGAAATCATCAATCATCAGTGCCTCTGAACAAGCAAACCTCTCTACTATGAGTTCTGATATAGTTCAGATCTAACTGAGTTTTTGGTGTGACGTGATTGGGTTATATCAAGTCATTAATGTGGTAACTGTTCTTTCAGGCACTGTGCTGAAGTGCAGCACTCGCTGTTACATCATGGGAAAAGAGATAAGGAAAAGTTCGAAGGTCAAGCAGATTAAAGGGTGGCACACAAACACGCATGCACACGTAACCGGGACACAGGAAGGACTGCTGGATCAGAGAAGCTCCTAGAAAGACCGGCAGCAGGGGCAAATGGCTGCTAAACCAGTGAAAGCCTGCAAGAATTGCATGTTTAAACATATTTCAGCTTATTTCAGAAAACTTAGAATAGTTGTAAGAAGCATTTCTAACATTCGGTGTAACGGGAGGGCTTTGCTGCTGAGGTGCAGCTTAATAAAATGTCCATTTTAGTGTGACCGTGGTGATTCTGGCTGGATAACGTACCTGCTGAATGCTTGGAGCAGCTGTGAGACCACAGAGGACAGTTTTTGCAAACAGGCTATGGTGTCCTGTGGCGGTGGTGCGGGACCTCCCACTGGTGTCGCGGTCTGCATGGTGTGAGGGTCAAATCCGAGCCCTTTGAACACGTCCAAACTGAAACATGACAGAAAAAGATGACCTTGAAGGTCAATGGAATGGACAAAAAAACAAAGTACATGTCAAAATAAGCTCAAATGTGCTGCTTTTGTTGATGAAAAGTGTTTCCAGGAACTGTTTATTGTGATTTTAACCACTGGAGTTAACTCTTTCCTCCTTTCATTTCAATCAACTTTGTAAGCTCGGCCTCTCAAGGACTTAAGCAAGAACCTCTGGAGGATAAAGACCGTAAACACTGGGGTCTTAATCCTTTCGACACATCCCATAATATGTCAGCTGCTTTCATCTGCTGCTTCTTCATTGAGCACGTACTGGCTCACCTTGTCTGAAACATGTGAGACCAGATGTTCTCAAACATGGACCACACTTCCTGAGGAGCGACCCGAGCAGGGACGGTTGGTTTGCCTTCAACATCATCATCATCCTTCATGGTGACATCACCGGTAACTGATTCTTCCTCCAAAAACACATCGCGCTGGAGCAAAAAAAAAAAAAAAGAAAAAACGAAAACAGTTAAGTTTTATTTACTTTTTAAAACATTTTGGATCTCGTCATTGATTTTTACGTGTAAAATAAAGATTTTAACGATTTCAAATGTGTTTGAGCTGACCCGAGGCTGCAGCGTATTGTAAAGATTTTCCAGGGTAGTGACGGCCTGAGGTACGAGCCTCGAACTTTTCCAAAACGCTCCTATGAACGTCTTTGCTTCCTGGAGGATTGCTGAGGTTGAGCAGCTGTTCACAGATTGCCCTGAAGGAACAGGCAGAAGCTTGTAGTTAGTTGTTGCTTCTGCAGGATATAGAGGTTTGTCACAACGCTGAAACACCCTGCAGCCTCAGAATGTTGTTCAGCTTCACTCCACAAGCTTAAACTCTAGTTGGGTGTTTTACAGGACTGCTTTAATGGTGCAGTAGATGTTTTCTGGAGCATTGTTTGCCATATTGCTTTAACTGATCTTCACATTACGCTGGCAACCATTAAATTAAATGTACAATCCTGGAAAAACCTCAACCATCCTGATCCCAATCCAACCATCAAACTGCCCTCTGACCACCCCTCCCCCCTCTTCACACCCCCGTCTATGTGCACGGATCATGTGTTCTCAGCTCAGAGCAGAGCAGGAGTTGAAGCCAGAGCCAAGCTAGCTATATTAGCTTTACTAGCATACTATATTGTTAAACACTGGAGTTTCCAGATTAATAAGGCCAGTTCTCTCCACTAGACCTCTGATCATTTACATTGAGAGATTCTCACTGAAGGCAAACCAAGGAACTCTTGGCATTCTCTTGATGAGCTTCAAGAGCTTGTCCTCCAAGACTGTTGGAAAACCATTTCAGGTGACTACCTCTTGAAGCTCATCAAGAGAATGCCAAGAGTGTGCAAAGCCGTAATTGGAGCAAAAAGGTGGCTATTTTTTGTTGAAGAAAATAGAATCTAACATGTTTTTGGGTATTTCACCTTTTTTGGTGAAGTTCATAACTCCACATGTGTTCATTCATAGTTTTGATGCCTTCAGTGAGAATCTCATGAAAATAAAGAAAACACATTGAATGAAAAGGTGTGTCCAGACTTTTGACCTGTATTGTAGGTCTCAATGGCTTCTCTAAACTTTCAGAGGGGAATGACTATGAGGAGTCTGTCAGAAGCCTGGAGGCTCCACAGCTGTTAGGTAGGTGTGTTTATTTTAGGAATTATAGCAGAAAAGGGGCCAACACAGGGTCAAAAACAGGGAAAGACTCTATTGTGGTTTTACGGTTGTTTGGCCTTTGCATCTGGTGATAAAACATTTTCTGCAGCCATCAGATTCTGACTCTAGGAAGGGCACCTGGAGAAAGGGGTTTGGACTTTAAAATAGATTTTTTAATGTAGCTTCCAGCTTTTTTCCAGGAACTTCTACTGCACCTTTAATCTGAGCAAGATGTTAACTACTGGGAAGAGATTGAGCAAATATTAAATTATTTTAACAGCAAATGTATAAAAGCAAGATTCAGATAATGAGCTTTTAAACAGGTGTTATGTCTGGAGGACCAAAATCATCCATCCATCCATTTACAGCCGCTTATCCGGAATCGGGTCACGGGAGAAGCAGCCCAAGTAGAAAGGCCCAGACTTCTCTCTCCCCAGCTACTTGGGCCAGCTCCTCCGGGGGAACCCCAAGGCATTCCCTGGCCAGCTAAGAGACACAGACCCTCCAGTGTGTCCTGCGTCTTCCCTTGGGTCCCTTCCCAGTTAGGCAGGCCTGGAAAACTTCACTAGGGAGGCGTCCAGGAGGCATCCTAACTAGATGCCCGAGCCACCTCAACTGGCTCCTCTCGACGTGGAGGAGCAGCAGATCTACTCCAAGCTCCTCCCAGATGACCAAACTTTTCACCTCATCTCTAAGGGAGAGCCCAGACACCCAGCGGAGAAACCTAATTTCGGCCGCTTGTATCCGCGATCTTGTTCTTTCGGTCACTACCCAAAGCTCATGATCATAGGTGAGGGTAGGAACGTAGATCGACCGGTACAACGCCCATAGCACTGCAGACGAAGCACCAGTCGGTCTATTGATCTCACGCTCCAACCTTTCCTCACTCGTGAACAGAGTTAAGCTCCTCCACTTGAGGCAGGACCTTGTCCCTGACCTGGAGAAGGCACGACAAAAATCAAGATTGATAAAATTTTAAAATTTGAATTTGGGACTTCTATAGCCTGATTAAGGCATTATTATTATTATTATTATTATTATTATTATTATTATTATTATTATTCCCTGGCTTCAGGCCCAACTGACCAGTGAGGAGTCCCTCCTAGCCGGCTGTACTTCCCTGACCCTCTCCCCTCCTCCTCACTCTACCACCAGCGACTAAAAACATCCAGAATCAGGAGAGTGAGCCAGCTTAAACTAACAGCAATGACAGTATCACATTTTTGAAAAGGTTAATAATATATTTTGGGTGTGAGCTGAACTGATTGTGCTGCTGGTGCCACCTTCCACGTGGGTGGACACAGAGCCTCGAGTTGCAGATAAACGGCTCTGAGAATATCCGGCGTAACAAACAGTGCCAGCACCGATGAACAGAACTACTGCAGTGAGCTACTCAGCATCTTTCTGACACACATTTGAGTCTCCCACTTGAGCGGGTGACCTGATTCCAAATGTAGTTCTGTAGGGGGATAGCGCGGTGTGAGGCACAACCAGGCAGGAATTCCATCGGAGGGATGTCTCAGTATCCCAGCACTGAAGGAATACTCTTTAAAATTAACTTTTACTTAGATTTTAGTAAATAAAGTTCATAAAGAAATTGATTTATTTTCAATTTATGTTGGTCAAATTTATCACAATGAAAACTAAAGCAAAACTTGGCCCTATGTGTGTTTTACATAACTCGCTGTTTACATTTAAATTGAAATTAGATTGAAATCTCTTCTTAGGGACCAGTGTTTCACGTGGAGAATGACATCATCATAACCTTCCAGAAACTGCAGCTAGGCTAAACAAAACTCTACACGACCCCAACAGGGTGACACGATCTGCTGCACAAACAGACCTAAAGTGGAGATTATTATAATCCACGCTAACAAGGAGAAGACAAACGTCATACAGCTTTTGCCTTTCCCCACCAATAAGCACACATACCTGAGCGAAAGAAATGGATGAGGTGTGAGAGTGTTTCATTCATTTTCCGTGGAACAACAAATCCAAAGACCGCTATCCAGTGCTTGTCAAAACATTGCAAGACACCCTGAAGCGTGGTCCAGGGCGGTTTAATCAAAATAATCTGTTAACACAACACAAAAGAAATGTGATGGATCGACACAGATTATGAATCACTGCCAAAAGGAAATCTAGTGTTTGGATCTATGTACCTACTTACTGCACTATGCACGAATTGGGTGAACAAGCAGGTATCACATGAGCTAGAGGTGTCCAAACTTTTCAAGATGAGAGACAAAATCCTCCTCAAAAAAGTGTGTGTGTGTGTGTGTGTGTGTGTGCGTGCGTGCGTGTTTGTGTGTGTGTTTGTGTGTGAGGGGGGGGGGACAAAATCACTCAGAGGGCCACGCCTTGGACAAGGTTGGTCTAACTGCTTGTTGACCTCTTGAATTCTTATTTAGTGTACAGAATAAATGACAACTAACATAAAATAGACTTAAACACGTGAAAAGTCACTTTACGTCTTTCCAAATGTCCCCAAATGCAGCCTTCATCTCCACCTCCAGCACATCAGACAGCACCTCCCGCAGACACTCTTCTAGCTCAAACAGGCATCTGCTAAGTTCCAGTTTCATCCGCTTATCGTTTCCTTCCCTTTGCTTCTGGGTATCTGTAGGCATATGCATAGATAATAACCTAGACATTTACTAATATATCTGCACGCATGAATGCTGAAGCTTTTAATAAAACACAGCAGAACATTTCACACAGCAGGATTCATTTGGGACCTTTCTTGTCACTGTTATTCTGCTACACAAGTGTTTGACCTGTTTTAACTGTTAAAGGGATGTTATTCACGTCTGAAGTGTTGATGAAGGCAGTAGTGACCCACACAGCAGCAAGAAAGGATGCAAAACGTGAGTTTTGCATAATATGTTGCCTTCAAATGAAGAAAGCAAAAGTGAGGGAAAAGAACCAGGAAAGCATGGACGAGCTTAGTGTTTGGATATGGACCGTTAATAATAACACTGGAGCAAATGATTCCAAGTTTCTCCCTATTTAGCATGAAGAACATGTTAATCCTTGAATCACCTTCGTTGATAGCATCCACAGCTTCCATCTGACCACATGGCTGGACTTCGGCATGATTCGTGTCTAACGTGACCTCAGCGGTACGAGGGAGGACTTGAGGTCGAGAGCTCTGAAGGATTAGATGTCCAGACGTCCTGACCTCTACCTCCAAATCATTCTTACACAGAGCCTTCACCCCACTCAGGACAGCTTTACTGCACAGATTTTTATCATTGCTAGAAGAGAAAGATGCATTCACTTCATTAGGTGAAGAAAGGAAAACTCACACCACAGTTATGTGCTGCAATCCTCTAATTAAGAAAAAATAAATAATCAATAGCAGCAACAAATCAAAACATAATTAAAATAAACGAACCCTCTCCACAGCAAATGTTGGGCAACAATTAAAAACAATCAAATTCCCGACCTAAACTGAGAATTCCTCACTCAGCACATCTATTCTTTGTGGAAAAACAGTCACACGTTTTTGTGTCCCTCCCCTCTCATTCCAACTGGAACTATCTGGCACAGTCACATGCATTTGCATTATTAGCAGAGGACACATAGTTTGCTGCTGCAGCAAACTGAAGAGAGGACGGGGGAGGGGAAACTCACGTGCATAAGATGACAGCGCACTCTGGGTACAGTTTCTGGTATTGCAGGCAGCACTGCAGCACTCTGTCGTCGTTGTTCTCACTCTTCAGACCGTCTGAGGAACAGAAAAGAGCAGAGGACAACAGGACAAGTGACTCCGAGAACCCAGTCTAAAAATGACACGGTGACTTTATAATGCTGAGAGTACAAAATACACACAGATGGGAACAGTGGGGCTTGTTTTCTTTTAAAAATAAAGGAAAAGTTACATATTATAAAGGGAAAAAAATAAATGATGGATTTTTTTCCTAATAAAACAAATAAACCTAAAAATTGTGTATCCAGCAATAATACATGGATCCAGCAATAATACATGGATGCAACTTGCCCTTGAGTTGTACACATTGTTTACTACAATGAGTGTCAGCGCCACCTAGAGCTTGTTGTGTTAAAATCCAGATGGCAGCAGAGTAAGAACTTTTAGTTGGAAATAACACATTCCTGTCCATTTGAAATCTGTTATGGTTTGAAAAGCAGCTGAGCAGACTAAAACTCTTCATTTAGAGACTTTTACTGTCTGGATCATTACTCACCGCTGCTCATGGCAGCCTGCTGCATAGACTGCCCCCACAGGCGAGGGTCCCGGCGCTTCAAAGCGTTGTAAATGAAGGAGATGGCGGGATTTACAAGGTGAGCCACATTATTTAACTTGTCTCGTCCTTTTTTTAGGTAATCCAGCTCCTGCAGCACCACCCAGGGGATCAGGACAACAGGGAAGCCCAGCGCTAAGAGACCAGAGACCACAGATGTGAATGTGGAACCCACAATAAAACATTTATAGATTCAAAACATGAATATTTTTTGTTCCGTTTTGCACTTTTATCTGCATTACACAAGCAGATAATTGTAAATTTAGGAGTAAAACAGAAATAATCACTACCTGAACCTCAAACAAGCTTTGATCAGTGAATCTGAACTAAGATCTCCTTTGCTTTTTCATTTTTAGTCCTAAAATATCATATAAAAAACAATAAAATGTACTCATGTCATTTACAGGAGATGGAAATAGATTTTGAGTTTTAAACAGTCAAGACAATATTTGGTGACGTGTTAATAATTTAATGCAACTGTCAAGAAAAATCTATTATTAAGCCCAAAATAGATTAAATTAAAAAAGAATTATATGAAATAATAAATGTAACTGTACAAAAATCCTTTGATTTCAATTTTAACAACAAATTGAAATGTTCATTACCTCCAAGGCCATGAGAATTAATTTTTTTCACATAATCTAAGTGCTTGATGAGAATATTTGTATCCAGAATGAGGATTAGCTCTTGCTGACAGGGTTGTTGGTCTGTAAAGATAAAACACACATCATTAAGTTATCATTTTTCTGTTAATTTTACAACTAAAGTGTTCAAACTGAGCTTCAGGAAAAAATTCCACCTTCATTTGACGTGTTACTCAAAAGCAAAGCAAAGTGGATTATGTGTCAGGTTGACGGTCAGCATCAGGGAACTTCTGCTCATTTACAAAACACTTCAGTTCAAACGGATTTTTTTCTCATGTTGAAGCTTTTTTTCTATGTAAAAGTTTTAAATAATAATTATCTTATTTGTAGCTTCCTGAACGGCTTCAGCTCAGAGAAAAATAATTCACAATTATGATTTTTTACTGCCTTTCAAAAACAGCTTTAATTACAAAAAAAGTGAAACGATAAATGACATTTTTATTTTCAGGAAAATTAAATTAATTTTCGTTCTTCCGGCTAGTGACTGAAAGAACGAGATCGCGGACACAAGCGGCCGAAATGAGTTTTCTCCACAGGGTGTCTGGGCTTTCCCTTAAGAGATGGGGTGAGAAGTTCTGTCATTTGGGAGGGGCTCGGAGTAGATCTGCTGCTCCTCCACATCAGGAGGAGCCTTTTGAGGTGGCTCAAGCATCTGCTAAGGATGCCTCCTGGACACCTCCCTGGTGAGGTTTTCCAAGCACGTCCAACTGGTAGGAGACCTAAAGGAAGACCCAGGACACGCTGGAGGGACTATGGCTCTTGCCTGGCCAGGGAACGCCTTGGGATTCCCCCGGAAAAGCTGGTCCGAGTGGCCGGGGAGAGGGAAGTCTGGGTCTCTCAACTTAGGCTGTTGCCCCCGTGACCCAACTCCGGATAAGCGGAAGAAAATAGATGAATTAATTTTTGCACATCACTGGTTTTTAGGCAGAAATATTTTAAAAACCTGCCAGATTTGACCATTAGCTATCCAAGAAGTGATTCATTTTGCTGTTGGGGGTGATATTTAATGTTTTTAAAAGTGCTTCATAATGACATTTATACAGTATGATAAAGTTTAACAAAGCTGCTCTTAGCTACACTTGGACAAGCAGTTTATGCTTGAGTCCTGTCAGACGTAAAAACAATTTCTAAGAAGAGAGGCCCTACAGGAAGCTAGCTACAATGAGTGGCTTTTATACAGAAACACGCTTTAAAATAGTCAAAATATCCCTTTAGAGCATATCTTGTTTTTTCACTCATGTACAAAAGGTTTTAGGGAAAAATGATGAAACTCACACGGCGTGTTTACAGGTCCTTCCTCTGCAGAATCTATGTCCATAGAGGTGAGTTCACCATAGCTCTGCGTGACATTTACCTCCAGTCTGTTCTCAGAGCGGGCGTTCTGAATCTCCTCCACTACTTTAGCCTAAAAAAGAACATATTAAAAATAAACTCACAGCAAAATAACAGTGTTGAGAGGCTGTGCTTGTAATGAAAAACTGTATATAATGGTGTGATGATTATTAATACTTTTATTACCTGTTCAGAACCGTGCTTATCACTGGAATCCTCTGCAGGTGGGAGCTGGACATTCGGAGACAGGACCTTATCTTGTCCTCCGTGCAAAACTGTGCAGCTCTGAGCAGATTTAAGCTCAGGTTTCCTTTCTAAAAGCCCAGAGTCTAGAAGTTTTTTACTGAAGTGTGTGTTCTCGACTTTTTGGTTTGTAGATGTAACATTGTTGTTTCTTTCTGATTTCTCTCCGGGCTTTGTCTGACTCTTTTTTGGTATCCTAAATTTGAAAGGCAGAAATTTTTGAGAAAGCTTTTCTTTCCCAGTATGTGGAAGCGACGTTGTCATTTGTGATGCTGGTGATTCCCTTTTACAGGTTGAAGTGACCGTCTTCCACAACTCTGAATTACTTCCTGAGGTTGGGTGCTTGGCTGAACTGGAAGATTTGTCTGAGACACAGGCAGATAAATCGTGTGAATTTTTACTTGGGCTTCTTTTAGCAAGTAACTCTTTAGCCTGATGCCTTACGTGGCTGTTTTCCACTTTTTCTCTGCTTTTCTGCTGTGGAAAATCCTTGAAAATAGCAGAGGCAGGCCCCCGAGTGCGGCTATTGCTGTTGTCACATCGAGTCCTTGAAGGGTTTTCAGCTTTTTTTTTTACACTCTGCTTGAGAACATCCAGTACAGACAAACCTAAAGAGCCACCCCGAGAACTTATTTTACCCGTCCTTTCTTTTGCGATCTTGGTTTCCCGAGAAGCTGAAGCTGCATTGCTGCTGTTTGAGGATTTTAAGTGTTTCATTTCCTGCTGTGTAGTTCCACTAGTTTTTTTACTATGACCAGAAGCATTTTGTTTTTCTTCTTTTCCATAGCCTTTCCCACAACGTTGCCCAGAATCACTTCTGGATCTGTGTCTCTTCGTTTTAGTGTGTTTCTGCTCTTCTGTGTGTGTTTTTGTCCTTCCATGGTCAGGTTTTGTGGTCGAATGCGTTTTGGGGAAATCATCTTTCCGGGATTTTTTCTGTTGGCTAGTAGATCTACACATTGAGACAGAGGAAACAATAAAATGATTCACACTTAATATTTACATTGATTTGTTTTTATTCTTTCTCACCTTTCAGGTCTCTCTCTGATTTCTCCCTTCCTTTTAAGACTTTTTCTTCTGTCATCTTCTTTCCTTAAATCCTGATAACACGAAAAACCTTGTGAATAAACCTTGTTCTTGACATAATTTGAGATTCTCTGCAATAAAATGAAATGCTTTACTTTCTCTGTTATCTACTAACAGATGAGTATGCAAACGTATTTATGTTTACCGTTTCAAGGAAACAATGCTAAAGTAAACAAAAGCTCAATTTAACATAAACACTTAAAAAAACACAATACATTTACACTTTCTCTTGCTACGTTGGCTTAAAACAACAAAACCAATAGCTTTCTCCTTACCTTGTCGTCTTTTTCTTTTCTCTTTCGGTGTTCTTTAGGCATTTTTCGCTGACACTAATTAGTAACTTGGTTTTCCCAAAAGTATGCCTGAAGACAGAAAGTCCATGTAAAAGCGGAAGGCATTTATGAACGGGAATCACTTTTTCGAGATAAACCAACATGAAAACAAAACGTTTTCATGTCACACAAAGCCAGCGGTTATCTCAGGTTAGTTCGGGTGTCAAAGAAAAAACACAGTGTGTCCATTTAGTCAGAGAAAATAACGTGGGAGTGAGAGAAATAAAATAAATTCTACGCCGCTAAACCATCCGTTTCCAAAATATCCGGTGATGACGTCTTCTAAACTTCCGGGAGGCTGTTTGGTGAAGCACGCGGCTGCCCCCTACAGGCGAACGTGCGCAAATTGCATTTCCTAGTCCTACAAACTCTTTCTACTGTGGACAAACCCCATGTATAAAGCCCAAAATGTTATTTTTGGATAAATAAACCCAGGTTTGTTTACTGGTATTTTATGCATAAACAAAGTAACACATTGTTTGCCTCTAACCTGATGGTTTTATGATCAACATGGGTAAAAACAACTTTAGCAGTCTGAAGGACACAGACGTGATATGGTGTTCCACTGAAGAATGTGATTTCTCATTAAGTATCAGTGTTGAAGAGAGAGAGAGAGAGAGAGAGAGAGAGAGAGAGAGAGAGAGAGAGAGAGAGAGAGAGAGAGAGAGAGAGAGAGAGAGAGAGAGAGAGAGAGTGTCTAGTTCTGGTTGACAACAGGTGTGAGAAACCAAATGATCCAGCTATGAGTCCAGTCCAAAAGGATACGGTGTTCTGCTAGAGAGCTTGTGTGACAGGTCTAATGCTGGATAACTTTTATCTGTGTTCATGAATTACATTTTTAAACTTTGTTTCTGCATCCTCATTTAATCTGTGTTTCAAACTGTGAGCGTTCTGATCAAAACTCAGAGGGAGGACAATGTGTCATGGGGGGGGGGGGGGGGGGGTGTCCGTCTGTCCATAGTAGACAATGAAACGTTTGTTTCTGAAGAAAAATAAAGATTTAATCAACCTTCAGTGTATTCTTTTATTACCTGAGGTTATGATGAAGAAAATTTGACCATTTAAATGTTTATTTGTGACTTTATTAGAAACATGATCCTTTGTTGCAAAGTTTCCACCACATTCTTTTCCATTCTTTTATCTGCTAAAGCCCATCTGTTTCTCCTTTGCCACAAGTGCTTTCCCACACAAAAACAAAGCAGAGTTCCCATCAGAACCAGTAAAACAACTTAATCTTTCCTCGTCCTCGTCATCTTCCTCCGCTTATCCGGGTCCGGGTCACGGGGGCAGCATCCCAACTAGGGAGCTCCAGACCGTCCTCTCCCCGGCCACCTCCACCAGCTCCTCTGGCAGGACCCCAAGGCGTTCCCCAACCAGATTGGAGATGTAACCTCTCCAACGTGTCCTGGGTCGCCCCGAGGGCCTCCTGCCGGCAGGACATGCCCGAAACACCTCCCCAGGGAGGCGTCCAGGAGGCATCCTGACCAGATGCCCAAACCACCTCAACTATTGGTTTGTCTGATCTTTCTGATAAGCTAGATGAAGAAATATAAAATAAATGGCACAAGATCACTTTGAGTGAGCAGCCATGTGTACATGATGATCGTCTTCATCCAACAGACTTTTCCACAAACTTCAAGGCCAAACATCTGTTTTCTCCTGCCTCGAAGACCTAAAATAATTTAGTGTAAATTTGTAGAGATTCAACATTCAGAAAAGCTGAAACCACTTCTTAAAGACATCTTTTCTCTTTCTGATGTTTCATCAGTGAATCAGCAAAAACTGTTTTAATCACTAAGGGATTTAGTCAATTAAAAAAAAAGGTTACTTTGCAGCAGTGGGCCTTAGACATGATTTTCTAAACCAAATGTGCAAAATGATTAGAATTTGCTTCAAAATCAGTTTTCATTGATACTTCAGCAGAAAGGCTGCGTAAAATTGCAATTGCTAACTTTTGCTGCACTCTGATACTGCTGCTCCATCTCATCTCTGTGTTTTATTATTAAAACAAAAGCAACTTAATGACTTTTCCAGAATGATTCAAGTCTTTAACACATATCTACCAATATTAAATTAATTCTAAACTGGAATAAAATAAATATATAACATGAGAACAAAATACGCATCTCATGCAAACTGGTGCACAAAGAAATGTCCAAATGTTTGCTACTGTTTCTCAGCACAATTCTCCACTACCTGATGATTCATTTTCCACACTTCACTACTTTTCATTTGGAAAAGACAGTTACTAGTTATTTTAAAGATTGCATTTGATAGGCCTTTTGTGCAGTAAAACTGCTTTACAATATTTCTAATCTACACGCACTTATAATGCGCAATTGCTTTCCGTAAATGCTGCCCTTCTCAGTCTGCTACCAAAGAGGTCAAAGGACGTGACCGGTGTTGTGTCAAAAATCGTTCGGCATGACCTCGGGTTTGCCCAGGTTTGTCTGAAGAGCTCCAAGTAAAATATTTGACACCAGAGGTGTGACCAAGTCACTGCTTTGCAAGTCACAAGTAAGTCACAAGTCTTTCCAGTCAAGTCTTGAGTCAAGCCCAAGTCGAAGACAACCAAGTCCAAGTCGAGTCCAAAGTCAATGATGTGGAAGTCCAAGTAAAGTCCAAGTCCTTAACTTTGAATTTTCAAGTCATAATCAAGTCATCTTTCCAGCTTATGATAATAAATTCCAGAAATAAAGCTTCTTAAAGTTTAATTTATTTGCTCAAACAAGCAGAAAGTGCAACTGAAACTGAATATAAACAAAGTGCTGCTGCATTTAGCAGAACAAGATCACACCCAGAACGAAGAATGATTTATGATTTTTGTCCAAGTCGTGCCACTTTTGTGCTAAAATATCAAATATGCTCAAGTCATCATCAAGTCAACAGATGCAAGTCGATTCAAGTCGCAAGTCCTTGGCATTCAAGTTTGAGTCAAGTCATAATTCTTTATAGATTTTATCAAGTCAAGTCAGAAGTTCTTAAAATAATGACTCGTGTCTGACTCGAGTCCAATTCATGTAACTTGAGTCCACACCTCTGTTTGACACTGAAACAGAGGGTAGAAAGTAAAATTGATAATATGTGCATAAGGCAAATTAAAAGGTAGTTTTTGATATGTTTTCAGCAGCTGTGACTGCGGTGAAGTCAGGCAGAGGCAGAGGGCAGCTCCCACTCTGAAAACGGTCTCTCTCAAGGCCTCGAGGCTGGTGTGAGGGATGATGAGCAGACCCGAACCACAGAGATCTGACAGGTACAAGGTGGCATGAAAGGATTCATAGATAAGGTGGAAGAGACTTTTTCATGAGAATGTGACTTGTCAAGGAGTCAGTGAAGATAAGTGAAGGTGAGGGTAAAGTGCTGCCAGGGCTCTGTGAGAATGAGATCCCTGAAAAATCTGGTTCTGCACACTCAAACCCAAAGCCTGTTAAAGAGTCTGACTCACACCTGAGACAGAGAAGGAAAACATGGAAATAGACTATGTAGATCTTTTTAAATGTGACATTTTAAGGGTTTATCCTGACATCAAATATTTCAGTTGACCTCTTCTATTTCAAAACATGCTTCTGCTGTTATTTTTGTTGGGTGTTTGTGCCTCACGATTGATAATAGAAATCAGTTATCAGATCCTTTACCAGTGATTTATTAAAGTCTAATATTTACCGTGGATCAAAGATGAAATTCAACATTTGAGATTAATCCCAACTAATTTAAAAGCCATTCGCTTAAACCAAACTAATGTGTTCAGGAAGCTTGAAATACAAATGCAGAAGTCGTGAGGGTTCGGCCGTGCCTTTTGTGTCTCGTCTCTTTCCCTTGTGTTTCTTGTTTGTTTCTGCTCTCTTGTCTGTCTGTGCTTCTCCCAGTAGACGTGGCCTGGCTCGCTCACAGATTAATCATCCTACTCCCTTGTGACCAATTACTTTCAGCAGCATATCTGTCCTGCTCTGCTCCTCACTCATCATCAGTTTGTCAGTTCACTCAGAGGTTCACTGCTGGCCAGAGTATCAGTTTACCATCTGTGAAGGTTAAGGTTAAGCTGACTTTAACCCGTTACCATGGGAACCACTGCTCACACTCACCTGTACCATACAATACCACTTTATTTGTTGAGCGCTTTCAACACAGTATTACAACTGACCATAGCGCTGCACGTTAAAAGCAAACAAGTATAAGTAATTCCACAGGTGATAGAGTCAAAAAGACAAAGGAATAAAAACCAAACATGCAAAGCAGATACAATACAACAGGTTTAAAATTAAGCAGCCAAGAGGAAAAGGAGGAAGGCCGGTAGACTTAATGCAAAAACCAAGGTTTAAGAGTTAAAAGCCAAGGAAAAATCGTGCGTCTTCAGATGCAATTTAAAAAATGCAGATTGAAGGTGCTTGCCTATGGAGAGGCAGGGAGGTCCAGAATTTCGATGCACAGATAGAAAAGGCCTTTCTTCGTGGGTCTTAAAACGCGCCTTAGGAATGGTGAGGAGGAGCTGGGGAGAGCACGAGGAGGGTGATAGTGGTGGAGCAGCACACTCACGCTTAAGTTTAGAAATTTACCTAAGGTGATAGAAACAGGACTTAACTGTACTATCTGAGCGTCCATCGTCAAGGCCGTGTCCATTTTTACTCCGAGGTTGGAAACAGTCGAGGTCACCTGAGTAGAAAGAGTGGAGGTCAGGTGGCTTAGCCACTCTAACACTGTCAGGACTGAAAACACGGACCTCGGTTTTAGAGTTGTTCAGATGGAGGAAGTTTCCAGCCAGCCATTCTGATGTTGAGAAGACAACCGAGCAGAGATTTAGAGAAGTCGGTGGACTTAAGAGAGAAGTAGATTTGACAATCATCTGCATATACGTTGTCCGTTCAGAACCCATCACTGTCACATTTATGAAAGTGTAACCCGGTGTAAAACCATTACACAATTAGAATGAATATTGAAATATAAATGGAAATTTACAAAACAGTTAAAACAGGATAAAAGAACAAATAAGATAAATAGAAATCTAAACATTCATACATTCATAGTTTAAAAAAAAGAAAAGAAAAAACAAACTTGTTGAAAATAGTCAAATAAGAAAAGCTAAAATCGAGTAAATAGAAAGTTCCAGTAAAATTCAGGTAGCAACTGACTAACCAATCACGTGGCTAGCCAGCTATCACATCAGCCAATAGAATTTAGCACTTTCTGCTGCTCGCTGCGCAGCTTTCACTTGCCTTCAGACCATCGACATTAATATAATGGACATCGCCTTTCCATAGACTCCAATATCACTTTTTTGAGGCCAAATGGG